TGTGCCATAGAGGTTGGTACTTTTATGTTTAGCTGGCGAAGCTTACCGTCAGATTTTTGTGATCTTTTTTAGCTTTTGATTAAATAGGAATATTACCAATTCTACATCTTAAGTCTGGCTTGATTTATGACGACTTAGCTGTTATTGCAGGATTAAGGGAACATTCATTCATTCACACTGTGACTTTGTCATTATAGGTTTGTTATATGTAAACATTTTGGTCTGGATAATGTTGAAAACTCAGATTTGACCTCATATGACAGGCAGTACAGCTGCTGTTAAGTAAAGTTTAGGTAATTCTCCAAATAGAGTAGGATTACATTATAAGCAGTGGGCTATCAGTTGTAGACACCATTAAGATTGTGTCACTATGCGGGCATGGACTGGATGTATTTATATGGCTCAGTGGCTGCACTATATGAGTGGATGAGAATGAGCAGTTCCCACACCCTCTCAGGTGTCCTGTGTTCAGGGCAGCCTGGCACAGGTACACACATAAAGACTTTCTTTGTCTGCATTCGGGAACAGGTAACCATTTGTGCCAGCCCTGCAGTGTGTCTGTGTGTGAGTGTGTGTGCAGTCGTCTGCGTGTGCATGTTTCTGAAACAAAGGCGGATAGGATTCTCTGGCCGGCTTACCCCGGCCACAAGAGCAGGTGTGGCTTTTCAGTGGCCTCGTATTCACCGTTGACGGCGCATGTGCGTTTGATAAACAGAAAAGATAACCCGTGATTTCCTGCAATTCTCAAGAAATCTTCCGGCATTCTGTGTAAAGATATGAGTTGAGAAACAAACATCTATCAATGCTTTTTTATGTTTTTGCGAAACACGATATGGGCATAAATTACTGAAGTAAAAGAGATTCAGTGTGGTACTAACTGCCTGTAAAGTAACAAAGAATAAACTCTATGGTTTAATAGCTCTGGAGGACGTCTACAGTCTGAGCATGCTAGCAGGAACAAATAGTGTGAAAGATAAAAAGTTAACCATTAACATTCAGCCTCCTTTGTGTCTCAGAATGTATGCTTACCTATATTCATTCCATTTTAAACATCCTCGAAGAGAAACAAGAAAGACTTTTAGCCTTTATTACTTCCATACAGCTGTTCTAGTTATTAATACACTGGTAAATCAGACAGACCATTAAAGTCGTAGGGAAATCATATTTAAATTTCAAATCATTCTGGCTTAAACATGTATATAAATGTACTCTTTTAGATGATACTGTCTTAAAATCTGCGGGGTTTTTTTTGTTATTTTATGCAGGCCAATTAGTTATACATCAGCGTCATAGCATCTTTATTCATATGTCGCAGCTAATATACGCAACGGTTGAAATAACAATCATTTCCTTTCCCATTGACTTCCATCCCAGTGTTCACAGGGATGGACGTCTGTGTGTTCAGCAGGCGTAGAGCTAACAGAACTGGCAGCGTTGTGAGGCAAGGGCTCAAACATGTACGGCTGTAAGCCTTCTACACCAAACCAAGCTTCTGCTGGAAATGCAACGGTTTGAACAGCCGTTTCCCTAAGACTTTAAATGTGACATTAACTACGATGTGTCTGTTGTGTGTTAGTGGCATCTAGTTTTTTGTGCTGACTGAATTACATTTACAAGGAGCTAAGCTAATTGCTCCAACATTCACTTGGATTTAGAGTCAACATTTGTTGCCTGATGCACGTTTTAACTCTTTTCTGGGCACCCGGCCTTTTTATAAATAACTATAAATTACCTGAATTCTGAATAAACCAGTTGTCATTTACATGTTTTATTGATTTAGTTGTACAGTTGGTGTCCCTTTAATTTGTTTTGATTATGTTTAAACACATTAGTTCACAAAATTGTAACCAACATAAATTATTGACATTTGTGATGTTATTTTGGCTATTGTTACTTGTTTGACGGATGGGAGGGGAGATTTAGAGGTAAAGGGACAACAGAACTTTAGCACACCCACACAAAACCCAAAAAAATTCATAACCTTTTTATAGAGGTAAATTCTTTTTAATGCAATTCACCCATACATTTAGCACCACCGGGTTGTTTGGCCACCAGCAGAAGGCAAGCGGAGTGTCTGATGCTACCTGAGGTGTCTTGCCCGGGGACAACGACTGAGACAGAGAGAGTGGGCATTCAAACTGGTAACCCAGCAGTTAGGAATAACTCCTACATCTGGAACCACTGTCTTCCTATAATGGTTAAAACCACAGTGTGAAAATCACTGGTTAAAAAACAACTTCAGTAAAAGTCAGAAATCTGTTCACAATATTTGGCAAAGTGAAAGTACAAAGTATTTTTGTACATTAAAAAAGCAAGACAACCTGCTTTTTTGTTGGTCCTTTATTTCACTTAGCCCTAAGAAGCATGGTATTCAAACAACACTGTCCATAAGAACCCAGAATAACACAAAAGCCATCATACATAATGACATGCATCCACAAATGTGTCACTGCCTAAAAAGCTTAAGAGAGTAAAAAACACAACAAGTGTGTCCATTCTGTCTTATAGGGAAAAAATACTTCATTTCATTGTGTCAAAATAATTTACAGGCAGTAACTTGGGTTTACAGAATCTATGAAAACATTTAGTATAAAATGTAGTAGAATAAAGACATTTCTCACCCCTGAAAGCAAATAAAATAAAATCAATATTTTTGTTTTTACAGAGGCATCCTGTAAAATGCTTGTTGATTCCACAAAAACAAGTCCTTTCAAAATAAATTTCAGTCATATTTAAATTTTTAGTTATCAAATTTTAGATATCTCAATTTTTTTATTTAAAGAAATAAATTAAACATTCTCAATCAAATTTTTATTGTCTTATGTATAGAAATAGAAGTAAAAGTCTGAATTAAAAAAAACTTGTTAATAAAAACAATCAATACTATAAAAAAATAAAATGTAGTTGAGTTACTATACACCTTTGTTAAGGCACATATATCTTTATGCTATGCCTGAGCTGAGCTTGCAGCTAACACAGAGAAGTCACCAGGTTTTTGCCTTTGAGGGGGAAATATTGAGACTCCTCCCATCAAAGGTATGCAACGTTTGTCTTCAAACTTATTCTGCAGAACTCTTACAATCAAAGCTAAACTTATGTTCCCCATAACTTAAGTTCCTCATAGGAAAAATGGAATTTGTTCAAATTGCTCTTGCAGCATTAATTACTCAAGTAAATATGCTCTATTGAACGTATGTGTTTGTAGATTTCATTTATCATAATTAATTTTGTTTGTCTTTGTGTGGATTTAAATACTTTTGTTGTAAAGTTCTGTCTTTGACCTGGATCCAAGTGCAGGCTCTCTAAGAGGAATGATAAATATAAGGCTTTAATGAAAAGGCAAAAACTTACCGTAGGGCACTATAAAAACAGGACATGCAAAGCGGTCAGAATAACAGAGAAATCTCAAGCATGCACCGAAAGAAAAGAATCCAGGGGAGAACAAAGAGGAATTAGGAGGTTAAATAGCAGGTTAAACAGGTGAGCGTCATTAGCCTGATAGGCAAGGACAGGTGGACTAAATGAGACAGATTGGATTGAATGTTATGAAATGGAGACAAATAAATATACAGAAGGCTGAACAGAAATACAGAAGAAGTAAACAAATGCATGCACAGATATCAAACATAAAAAAACACAAGAAAACACAAGCCAAGAAAAAAATAATAAACTAACTAACAATCCATGATGTATTCATGTGTGTTTTAAGGATTTTATGTTTTTGTTTCCTTATCTTTCTCTCTTTTTTCCCTTTTTTCTGGACTTATTATCTTCTCTTACATAGGTGTAGGGTGTTGGTGATTAAAGTAACCCAAACTATGCACCCTGAGTTAAAATAATACTTTTCCCAGACTTTCTTTTAGCCCTGCTTTCCTCACAACTCCATGCCCAAGAGCCTGAGAGATGGCAAAAGAAAAAGTACTCCCTGCTTAAAAATGAAAGAATTAGGTATTGTTACCTTAATCTTATAACAATAGCTGCACATCAATGACCAAATGCAAGAATCTTTGCTTTCCCTTGTGCACAGATGCTGCACGTCAGAGTTCCTGTAACAGGTGTTTAAAGCAGAACTCAAGGATTAGCAGCTCAGGAAGCAGAGGCATAAAAAGCAAGAGAGCTCCTCTGGTGTGTGTTTCAACACACTTGTCACGTGACCTACCTTTTTGACCCATATCTTGCTCTGAACAGATGTTAACTGTAAATATCAAATTTGGCAAAGATACCTGCTATTAATTAGATTGACAGCCTGAGTGAGTGCTTGGTGTAAGTGAAAGGTGAGAGTGTGGAGGATGTGCTGTATTTTTTCTGTTGGTCCTACCACTGTGGCGTTCTGTTTGAGGCTGGCGTGTCACTGTGTTTAAAGATCTTAAGTACAGGGGTTGGATGCCATGTGGAAAGAAGTCTTTAATTAGAGCAGGAAGGCCCGGCTCAGGAGACACACCAGACCAGACGTCAGTATGTGTGTCTATCAGTGAAGAACAGCCTTGACTATTAGATGTCCAGCACTACTCCACAGTTATACTCCTGGAATGTGTGCATCATGAGTTGGTTTTAGTATTATGCTTTTTGGAATGCACCAAGCTAAACCTTACTCACTTCAGTTTATTTATACATAGCAGCAATTCACAAAAAATGTCATCTCAAGGCACTTTCAGAGCCAATTCACTCAAATCATGAACTCAGATTGGTTTAAGATTTTCTATCAAAGGAACCCTAGATGACTGTGGTTATAGGTTCCTCATCACTCCTGATCAAGAATCTAAAAACTGGGAAAAATTTGGAGTTATTTAAATTTTATGCCTGCAAGCTAAGGTTTAATATGCAAAGAGAAGAGATGGTTTCAGAAGATAAAATAGAAACAACTATTTAATGAAAACAACATTTAAAACTCAAAGAGGCTGCATTAAACCTTTGTGATCGTCCCACACTGATTAACCTTTGCATCCCTAATACATGCCTTTAAATTAACAGTGTTTTGTTTATAATCTCTGTTACTACAGCTTCCATGTGGCCATCTAGCCATGCTCCCTGGGTATGGATTCTCACATTTTCCTAACTTCCATCCCCACCTTCACGCTTTTCGCTGCCGAGGAGAGAGCCCCAGCATGTGGATCCCAAGCTCAGCAGAGTCTCAAGGTTCCAGCGAGTCCAGGGAGGGTCGGCCTCTCCTCCATCCCATCCATCACAAGCATGTGGCTGTGTGCCAGGAGGAAACGCTGGCATTCATTGAGCTACAACAACCAGCACCTTCTAAATTAAACAATCTTGGCTGTCAAAGGCAGAGCAGCGTTTCAGACTTACACTCTCAATCATTTAATAGGTTGAGACAAACTCTAAATGAACTGAATGACGTGCAAAAAGGCAGCCACAACACAGACAATGAACAAAGATTGAATGTAAACTCTCCATCACATGGTGAGAATGAGGTTGAGGTTGTTCGGCAGAATGGCACGAGTACATCTCTACAGGACCAAAGTGAGAAGCCGCGGGCCATAACAACAGTTTGCCGACCTCTCCATGCAGCTCTTAGCCTCCCTCTGTCTCTGCCCCTGTCCTCCCTGTACTCAAACAGAGACTCACTGGATTCTCAGGTACCTTACTCCTCTTCCTCTCCAGAATGTACAGATTTTCAAGGTTTGGACACCTGCCAGCCACAGAGGAGGACGTCACAGGGATCTTTAAAACAGAAGTCTATCCGTGAGTTAACAGAACAATCAGACTTTAGAAACTCTTTAACATGTTTTTGTTTAGGCTGAAAGGGCTGTTTTCTTGTCCTCAGGGCGAAAGGTGCAGGTTTATTCTTCAGACACCCTGAGCGATGAATCACTTGGCAGCCCCATTCTGGAGCCGGATTACATCTTCCCTGGACCTTTTGCATCTTTTCTAGAGGAAGACCTCAGTGGATTATCTTCCCTGGAGGCTGGTTCAAACCCTCCATCCATGGACAGTGTACCAGATCTCCCAAACATCAGTCAAGAAGATATTTTCAGCATCCATTCAGAACCCTTGCAGATAATAGAGGACTCAGAACCAGGAGCAGAGGAGGAGGAGGAAGGTGGTATTGTGGAGACATCGCTTCACCCGGGAGTGAGCTTTTTGCCACGCGGTCGACAAACTGACCAAGAACGCCGTCGTTTCTCGGCTTCAGAGCTGATATCAAGGCTACAACTCTCCCAAAGGAAGAACTCTTTCACCTTAAAGCTGGGGAAGTCTCTGTCTGCTCGGGTGTCTTCCAGAGACAGGCAGAGCTCCAACATCCTCAGCCCAAATTCTGACTGTGAGTGGAAAACACTACCCTAATCTTTGTAGCACTTCTTTAACCAAGATGTACTGCTATGATACACTCTTAGACTTTTATACTCTCCTTTAATACTCCAAGCTTTCTTATAGTATTTTAAGTAGATCTGGAGCTGAAATAGGATGTTAAACTTTTTCTCTGGTCCTTCGCACTCTTCAGATGTTCTACCTGCTCACTGTATATCAACATGTCTGTACGTTGTGGCCAAGTTTTTAACAACCAGAAAGAAAAAGTTTAAGTGATAGGGGGAAAAAAAGCTTGGAGCAATCTTATCACGCCAAGTTTAGTAAAATAGGGGTAAGTCAAATTTACAGAGAATGCACATCAGTTACAGTAGGAGTTTGAAAACTTTGTTAATGTTGAAAACTTTACAACAGTGGTATTCTAATGGTCCAGTCTAGGTTGCAGCATGACAGGGGTCACAAGGAAAACTTTTGTAAAGGTTTTCTTTAAAAACTCATGAATCAAAGTAGCACCTAAACAGTTCTATGATCAATGCTTTTATTTCTGATCTTTCTAAGGTCTATCAACACATGTTTGTGGATATACATAAACAAGTATGATGGGTGTTTCAGTAATTTTCCTGTCATAATGCCTTCACTATCTCTAGTTTGTGAATCTGACAAGTTTAACACCAAAAAAGGATGAAATAAATGAAGCAAACATATGTCAGGCTCAGAACCAAAGACCCAGTATAGAAGGCAGAAAGACAGATTTAACAAAAAAGAGGTCCAGAGGCAGAACGGGTCAGGATCTGACAATCAGAACACTGTAATGCTATAAAACTTCTCACCAACGACTCTACTCGACTGACTCCTGATGGCTGCTCTGAATGTTGGTTAAATAGAGGGTGAAGCAAGTGGATCTGATGAGTGTCAATGAAAACTGGGCGGAAATAAGCAGGTGAATGAAATCAGTAATCAGACTGGACGTCATCCCTTATTTCGCCACAATTGCTGTAATGGCTCCTAAGTTTATCTTATGTGATAATCCTGCTTTGATTTTAAGAGTCCTCTGGTCCACTTGGATGGATGTTGGGACCACTTCATCATATAATTGGGTCTAACCAACACGTTAGATATCGTACCATGTGTGACTTTCTCTGAGGACCCAACCTGTTGAATATGATGACACGTATCCGATCAGAAAGCACTTTCCATGGAAAAACAAAAAAAATTAATAAAATAAACTCACCAGTTAGAGCCGTTAGAGCCGTTAGAGCGGCTCCACTCCCTTTTCAATCCTTCTGCCAGCATTGCTTCGTTTTGTTATATTTTTCTCTGGTAAAATAACTTCACACATATCTTGATTTCTTCTTCCTGTCATGATTTGTTTGTAGATAGAGGACCCAAAAGCAGAGGTGGGAAGGCAGAGGTGAATTTATAGTTGATTTAATGATGAGTTTCTGTAAACAGAGGCAGGTTATCCTAAAATCCAAATAAGAAACTAACAAAGTGCAAAAAGAAACAGGCAACCGGGAATCCAAAAACCAAAATGTAAATAAAGTCCAAAACAAACACGAAACCAGAAGTCCAAAAAATTCAAAATTCAAAACATGAAAATAAGTAAAAACGAACCAGAAACCATGGAGACATGAGGGGAATTACTGTAAACAGGAGGAAGGCTCAGAGAGACAAGTTGGAGTAGGATTGACGAGGACCCAGCAAACAAGAACTGAAGAGGGAGAGCATTTAAAGGAGACTGAGACAAAGAGAAGACTAGTGAGTAGATTGGAAACAGTTGAGCACAGGGCAGGAGAGGAAAATAGCTAGGGGAAAAAGGAGAACACAAGAGAAACTGAAAATAACCAGAAAACACAACAAAATAAGAGCTAGACCACTAAATAAAACATGGATCAAAGTAAAACTGAAAACTCAAAAGAAAAACAAAACAGTGGCAAGACTGAAACAGTAACTAAGAATAAACCAGAGAACACAGCAAAATAAGGATAAAACCACTAACACTAGAAGACAAGAAGTAAAGTAAAACTGAATATGAAAAGAAAATCATAACAGAAACAAAAACTAACACTTCCAGTGCTCCTCATTGGCCATGTATATATTCTCACAGTTTTGTTTAACTGAAATGTGTTTGCATTCAGTGTCATGTGCTTGCTTTGAGGCTTTTCACAGAGCCAGAAGGAACCTGTTATATCTACAACAGTTTAACATCATATAACATCATATCTAAGATCTCTTAGATTTAGAAAATGACAAAAATCGAAAGCTTTTAAAAGCTTGCTATGTTAACTAGGCATTACTGAGTATAAAAAACAAAAATTCACCAAAAATCCAATTAGCTAGAAGGTGTTGTGAGGTAAAAGATTTGCTGTGAGAGAAAAAAGCTTCAATTATTTTTTTTTACTAGTAGAAAAAAAAAGCAATAAAACTGATGAAATAACCAAAAACTACTTGGTAGTAGATACACATCAAACTTGTCCGAATCCTGTATAGTCTGAATTCAGTTTAAAAAGATGCTAAATATTTCAACCAATCCAGTTAGAACCACACTGAGTCATAAACAGTGTGGTAAAATCTTAATCTTAATCAAATATATAATCATTTTGATGCTTTTTGGTAAAAAGATGATAATCATCAATCCTTCGCCGTGAGCAAGAGTGTGGCAACCGTGGACAGGAATAACTTGTTTATTTGGAATAGAGGCTTTTATCTGAAAGTGATCAAACTGGAAAAGTGGAGAGAGGAAGAAGACATTCTGCAAAGGTGCATTACAGTACTATAATAACTCTCTTTTAACAGGAAGGCGGTTCCAGCAGATCTAGGGTCTGTTCAAGATGCCCTCCTCTCCAAATAACCAAAATCTCAGAGATTTTTATGCATGTTTAGCAACCATCCATCCATCTTTTTCCCATTATTCCATTAGGATCGCGGTGGGGCCAGCGTCTACCTCTGCAGTCTATGGGCGAAAGGTGGGGTAACACAGAGATGCTCAACCATGCAACCAATCACTCACACTTAAGCACAATTTAGAAAGCCAATTATCTTAACAGTCATCTTTTTGGACTGTGGGAGGAGGTCAGTGAACCCATGCATGCACAGGGATTACATGCAAACTCCATGCAGAAAGACTCTGGGCCAGATATCAATCCCGGAACCTTCTTGCCGCAACGCAACAGTGCTACACACTGCACCACTGTGCAGCCCCGCAAATTAATTGTTATTTTCTTTCCTTTTTATTATAGATAAGTCTAACTCCAGACTGCGCAGCTCAGGCGGCTCCAGTGATAGCGGTATCTGCAGTCCTGTTGGAACTGGACCTCCCCTGCCCAGTTGTGACAATGGGATGCCTTTACATCGGTGGAGCACTAAACTTGGGTTATAAGAAACCAATATGAGAATACATCTTTCAAAGACATCTTTGGATTTAAATAAAATCTGTTGTTGTGGTTTCACAGAATGCGAAAGAAATCCATCGAAGAAGATTTAAGCACATCATCACTCTTACCCACCTCAAATCGCCTTTCACGTTTTTTGCCAAGCTGTGAGTTTACCTAAATTTTAGGATCTTTTCTTACATATTGTTCCTTTCTCATTTTTTCTGCCTTTCCTTACTGTACCGACATATTCCATCAACGTCTTGTTTTTGCAGCAATCCTTTACCAGGAGTACAGCGATGTTGCCATCAACCGAGAGATCCAGAGGCAGCAAGGGAAGGATCCAGGAACAGATGAGGAGGGGCTTAGAGATGAAGGATCAGATGGAACTCCCTCTCCATCAAATCTCTCTCCATCCAGCTCTTTTCGCTCTTCTCGAGGCTCTGCATTTGCACTGTGGCAGGATATACCTGACGTGCGAACCAGCGGTCAGTTAGACACCTTCAGTAACGAAGAAAGAAAACTACAGGAGGTGACAGAAGTTCAAGCTTGCTTTCCTTTGGATTAAAGCTTATTCTTTGTTTGGTTTCTTTAAAACTGTCTGTTTTTCCCCTTTAGGCAAAGTTTGAGCTGGTAACATCTGAGGCGTCATACATTCGTAGCCTGACAATCGCTGTAGACCACTTCATGCTGTCTCAGGAGCTTGCTGAGTGCCTTGGCGCTAAGGAGAAGCAGTGGCTCTTCTCCAAGCTGCCTGAAGTCAAAGATGTCAGTGAGAGGTGAAGAGATCTACAGCTGATTGACTCCACTGCATTCAGACTCTGCGTTTTTACACCTTAAGCAGAGATATGTCGCTCTATGAGAGTGTTTTCTACCCCATCACTGTCTGTAGGTTCCTTCAGGACCTGGAGCACAGGCTGGAGAAAGACATTCTCCGTTTTGATGTGTGTGACATAGTCCTGGATCACTGCCCGGCCCTGCGAAGAGTCTATTTGCCTTACGTAACCAACCAGGCATATCAGGAGCAAACATACCAGCGTTTGCTGTAAGTAATTGTTTTTTGGTGCATGTTCAGTGAGTCTGTTCCGACATGAACCCACAACGTTGCTGCAATCTTTGCCAAGAGTTTTTTTCATATTCATATCTCTTAGTTGCTTTAGTGTGGAGGCACAAATCCAAAAGTTTGGCCACTTAAATACAGTAACACAATTGTTTAGAGTAAGAAAAAGGGTGGCTGATTCACATTTTCAAACTGAAAAAGTGTGGCATTTATTTGTTTTCAATTACGCCCATGAACTCTGACCGACTTGCATCTCTCTGCAGAGATGAGTATTTTCCCATGGAATAATGCTCTAATGCCATGCTTCATGGCTCAGATGGTGTTTCTGGGCTGACTTATGTTGATTTTCAACATTAGTCACTTTTTGTTCTTTAGAACAAAAAGTGAAGTTTTATCCTGAACCAGCCAGAGTAAATTGTTTTGCACATTTGCTTTGTCCCCAAAACCTAAACCCTTGTTTTATTCGTGCTGAGTTATGGGGACAGCAAAGTAGACCAAAATCAGAGGCAACTGACTTTTTCTCAGTCTTTCATCAACTGTAAGAGTATTTGTCTTCCTGGATAGGTGTCAAAACTCAGTAAAAAACTGAGGGGAATACCAATTGCCTCCGATTTAAGCCTGTTTTGTGGTTGCTCATTCTATTGTTGGTTTTTCACCTAAAATCCCAATAAAATATACTGATGTTGGTGGCTGGGAAGTGACATATGTAAAGGATCGAGGGGTGTGAATTTATTGTTAATCTAGATGCTGTTTTGTAGCAAACTAGTTACATTCTGTGTCTTATAGACTCTTCGGAGCATTCATTGGTGTTTCTTGTGATTTAAACTATAACTCCTTGAATAACGAAGTATACAGATTATCAAAAAACAGGTTATCCCTGATTGCTGGTTTAAAACCAATCAAGGCAAGCAAATGCTTTTAGAAATTTAAAGACTCCTCAAGAGCCCCTGTGTTCAGCATAAAGTGTTTTTGTCTAAATCTAAAATACATTGCAAAATATACCATTGTTTTGCTTAGTCCAACATAACTTAGATTCTGCTCGTGTTATTTCTCTTGTCTGGGCTAGTAAAAACACCTGGAATTTTGATTAACCAAATAGTCATACAGGTTTTTGATTTTAAATGTCCCCTCAGGCAGGAAAACCCTCGTTTCCCTGGCATCCTGGCTCGCCTGGAGGAGGACCCCATCTGTCAAAGGCTTCCTCTGACCTCTTTTCTTATCCTCCCATTTCAGAGGATCACACGCCTCAAAATGCTGGTGGAGGTATGATGTTGAGCATTCATAGTAAGGGTTCATGCCCATGTTTAAAATATGCCTGTAGATGGGGTAATAATTGCACCTGTTAAGTTTTTGATGAGAGCTGGGAAAATACAGTTTACCTTTTGGCCCACCTTAAAAAAAAACATATTTATTTTTCAGAACATCCTAAAGAGGACAACACCAGGCTCCCGAGATGAGGACACAGCCACAAAGGCTTTCAATGAGCTAAAAAAGGTGGTGATCATCACCTATAATGGCTGAAATACCAGTATTATTACCAGTGAGGCTTAACAGTAATAACAGTGTTGGTGTTTGCATTCTTAGATCATCAGAGATTGTAATTCCAGCGTTCAGTCGATGAAGAGGATGGAGGAACTTATTCACCTAAACAAGAAAATCCACTTTGAGGGCAAAGTTAGTTGCTTTAGGATTTTGCTTTTAGCAGGTTTGATTTTCTTCATCCAAGTCTAAATCTGTAATTTGTCCTATTTTTTCTCCACAGATATTTCCTCTCATATCCCAGTCCCGCTGGTTAGTTAAACATGGTGAACTCCTGGAAGTGGACACTCAGACGATGAGCATTTCAGGATCAAAACTCAAGCTGCCAACCAAGCCTGTGTACCTCCACTTGTTTAACGACTGTCTGCTGCTGTCCAGGAGGAAGGAGTGAGTTATAGCGCTCTGTGGTATTAGACCTCAAATTGTAAGGCCTCATAAGAAATATTTCTTCTAAACAGATTATTTTTTCTGTTGTTTCTTCAGATTGTAAAAGCTAAGAGAGGTGAACAGACGTTTGCCCATAGAATGGCTAAACTTGTAGATTTACTGCATGGATATTAATCAAAATACGGTGCAGTTTCTAACTCTTTATCAATGCTAAGACAAAGACTCAAAACATTCTATATTTTTCAATACTGAAGGACTTTTTTGAGGCTCAAAGTTCCCAATAATATCCGATTTATTTAGTCCATATCAATATGACCAATGGTATAACGACACAACAATAGGCCCCTAAGCAACATTATCTGGGTGGGTTCAATATGAAGTACATCTGCCAAATAAGAAGATGGTGCAGCTACCTCCACCTTTCACCTTTCTGTCTCTAAAAGTCAAGTGAAGAGGCAACTAAGTCACCAGGTCCTGATGGTTTCAACCCCAGAAGCCTGAAGTCCTGTGCAGAGCAGCTCTGTTGGCTTCTACAGCACCTCTTCAAGCTTAGTCCGACCCAGGAGACAGTTCCATTAATGTTGAAGACATCCTGCCTTGTTCCGGAGTCAAAGAAAACTCAGCCAACAATCCTCAGTGACTTTAGACCTGTTGTTCTCACATTCTACATCATGATGGTCCTAGAGAGACTTCTGTTGGTTCCCCTCAGAAAACAAACACACATCTATCAGGACCCCCTGCAGTTTGTTTATCACCATGGAATTGGAGTTAAAGATGCCATAATACAACTGCTTTAACAAATCCACAGTCATTTAGACAAGGTAAACAGCACCGTGAGGACCATGTTCTTCGATTTCTGCAGTGCATTTAATACAAATTAACTATACTTTCTTTGTGAGAAACTCCATAGGACTGTGCAGACTCATCAATACTCACCTGGATCAAAGACAACCAGAGACAAAGACAAACAGACCACAGTTTGCTAGACTGAAGGGTCAGGTGTCTAATCAGGTAGTCAGCAGCACAGGGGACCACAGGGGACGGTACTCTCTCCAGTTCTTCATAAGGGCTGGTTATACTCCTGCAGCAGTGTGTTGCAGTGATCTTTTTGCAGATATTTTTGATTTAAGCCCAGTATTGAAGCATGGTAGGCGCTATGTTATTCCACTCCACAGCGCTAGAGGGACAATGACGAACTGTGGGTCTAGATATGGCAGAAACGGTGAGGAACTGGGGGCAAGGTTGTGTGACAACGGAGGGACATGAGGGTGAAAAAGAGCAGGGAAACTAGTGGAAAAAGGGTCCCATCTTTCCTGCGCACCTCACTGTTCTAGCTGGTCCAACTTCACAAGTCGCTTTCCACAATGGCGGTCATACAAACAAAACAAGCCGGTAAGGTATTAACAGGAAATACGCATAGTGTAGAGCGGATGTAGATTTGACCAATCAGAGGCCTGCTGTCTGCAGCACTGTCTGCGGTCACCTACAGTTTTAGAGAGGTGCACCAGTGTGCAGAAGGCACATTTGCTTTCACTGCTACACACACACAGACAACCTGGTTTCTGAGTATAAATCAGTCTTTACTCTGTACACATCTGACTTCCAGTACCAGACAGAGTTCTGTCATCTACAGAAATACTCAGATGACTCTGCAGTCATTGGGCGGATCAAAGATGAACAAGAAGTTGAGAACAAGGAGCTGGTGAACCGCTTAGTGGAATGGTGTGAAAACAATCATCTGATCCTGAATGTAAACAAACCAAGGGAGATGATTGTAGATTTCAGCAGAAACAGGAACGAGTTGAATCCTGTTCACATCATGGGAGAAGAAGTGGAGATGTTTAAGCAGCATAAATACCTTGGTGTCCACTTGAACAACAAATTCAACTGGAGACGAATCTGTGAAGCATCACAAGGAAGGAACAGATTAGATTGCACTTCCTAAAGGAAGCTTAAGTCCTTCGGTGTTTGCAACAAGATGCTACATATCTTCTTTTAGTCCAATGTGGAGAGTGTGATCTCTTCTGCCATCGTCTGTTGGGGTAACAGTATTTAAGCAAATGACTTAAAAAAGCTCAACAAGCTAAAAAAGAAGGTTGGTGCTTTTGTAGGAACTCCCTTTGAACCTCCAGAGATTATTTCACAAGGAACACTGCTACATAAAGTGAAAAAAGAGAGCATCCTCTTCCAATTATTTTTAAAGAAGAGTGTCTGCAGTAAGTGGCTTCTACACATTGATCTGTGCAAGACAGATCAATACAGTAGATCCTTTCTGCCTGCAGCTATCAACACATACAATAAATGATTAAGAAAACCATATGAATGAATTAAATTTCCCTTTGGAATTAATGAAGTATTTATGAATTAACCTGAATTTAATGATATTAAAACATTTATTCCTAACTGTTATTATTTAGTTAAAAGAAAAATATTATCTTATGTTATCCAGAGCAGTCAAAAATACCAACTGGATAAAAACAGCTGGAAGCCATAATTAGGATTAAACAAAGAAAAACAACAAATAAAATTATAAAATTAAGGTAACGTAAAGATGTCAGGAACAAGATGGGAACTTAGTACAGAAAATAAAACATGAAGTTAAAAAAATTAAAATGGAACCAGATTCTCAACTTCAAAATGTTTAACCACCATAGCTGGACATAAAACCTGATACAAATTAGCCAATGAGCTGTGTACTGCTTTGAAGCAGGACTCTCCACCATGAACAGAATCAAAAATATATATTGATCCAGGCTCAAAATGAGCACCTTGATATGTTCTTGAGAATGGCTTTGTCTCCATTCAAACCCAGGTTTAAAGCCTTGCAGGGCAGCATAAAGCCCACTGCTCTCATTAAGCCAGAAAAAAAAAAAAAAAAAAAAAAAAAAATTCAGGTTTTCAGTTCAGGTGTTTTATAAAATATGTGAATCATGAAATTGTCTATATACCAGATTTTTGTTCTCAACTTCAAAAGACACCCCCCCCCCCCATTATAAAATGGAGTATAAAACGTGTTCTTTTTTATATATATGTATTTATTAAAAAAATCAATGTATAACATGGATGAATAAACACCTCATTTTATTTCAGTGTTAAATTCTTAATTAACTTGTTCCTTAGAGTAACAGATTGTAATAAAAAATGTCTCCGGACCTTTACTGGTTGTTGATTTTCTTTATTTGGACCCTGCTGATTTTTTATTGCTTACCCCTGGTTTAAATAAAAAGAACATTAGGATACAGGGAAATAGAAATAAAACCTATTCATATCAGGATTAAAAGATGTGGACTTAAAGCTCCGACTGGGAACAAAAATCTGATCAAATTTCATTTCTTTTTAATCTTTTTAGTCTTTTTAATTGTTGGCTTGGAGTAATCTCTAAAATCTTTATAAAACTGGTAAATTCTCCAACACTGAAAAACAATAATAATGTGAATTATGATAGAGGGAATTATACACTGTTGGTTTCACACAATAGTTTGGATTTTATGCTTAACCCTTTAAAGCCTGGACCATGAAATAATTGACAGAATTCCATTTTCTTTAAATTAGGGTTGTCCTTGAACTTTCTGATAAATGACATCAAAAAAGAATTGTTGTATAAGTTAAATTACCGTAGATCATTTATTTACATCAAATTTGATACATAAGGCATTTCTCTATAATCTTTTAAAGGTTTTCTGTTCACTACATGCATCTTATTGTGTACGTCAGGGTTGTCAAGAACAAAAATATAACACTAATGATGTATAGGTCTCAAAAACTCATGTATCAAATATGATACAATTGGCTTTAAAGGGTTATTGTGCAAAATAAGATCATGAACTTTTCAAACTATTTTGACAAAAAGTTGTTAACCAGTTTTAAGTCTTATTACATATCTGTATTATATTTTGTTTAATGATTGCTAAAACCTTTTTGTTGATGTTGTTACAGTACCTGGAAGTTCATGGTATTTGTGCATGCTAAGATTGGAGAGCTGAAAGTGAAGGATCTCAGCCAGAAGCTGCAAGGCATCTCCGGCTTTATCTTCCATCTGCAGCTCTGTGAAGGCCAGCAGCTCAAACATCAGATCCTACTTAAATCTCACACAGAGTAAGACAAAAAAAAAAAAAACTCTCTAGCATCATCTTCCTTCAGAGCTGCTAAAAGCTAACTGCTGTTGCTGCTTCTGTCTGGCAAGGAGTAGCAAGCAGAGATGGATCACAGCAATGTTTCCATCTGATCCGTTTGAAGACATTGAGCAGGCCAGTGAAAATGATGGTAAGCAGAGATCTGAGTGTGCGCATTATATGAAGATATACCTTTAAATCATTTTTTCTGTGTTATTTTGCAGATATATCCCAGGTTCAGTGCATTAAAAGCTACCAGGCCCAAGAGCACGATGAGTTAACTCTGGAAAAAGCTGACATTCTTCATGCTAAAACTATTACAAGTGATGGTAAGAGTCAGGAGGACCGATTTAAGACATTTAATACTCGACTTAATTTTTTTTGCATTGCAATAAACAACCATAAAAACTTGTTTATGATTTCTTCATTAACCAGAAAATAGTAGCAAATTGGAAATGAAGAAAAAAGATACATTTTTTTCAAATTTTTTTTTCACCTTTGAATCTAAAAAAGCATTTCTTTACATGTGTGAGCACCTTATTAGTACTTTAATTTATTGTTTCTCTGGTCAAAAAAGAAAAATCAGTTAAATTTAACGTTTTAGTCTACATGCAAAATATTGGGAAAATTTGATGGAAAGACGAAGAAAAACGTTTTTAAACTGGGGTTGATTTTAATTTACAAGCAAAGAAAGAAGACTCAAACATACAGCCAAGTAGAGACTGTGGTGGTTTAAATCAAAACATATCATGTGCTTTAATGGTGTTGTCAAAATTATTTCTGCAGGATGGGTGGAGGGCATCAGGCTGTCAGATGGGGAGCGGGGCTGGTTCCCCAAATCCTATGTGGAGGAAATCACGAGTCGCAGCGCGCGCCTCCGCAACCTCAGAGAAAATATCCGCATCAAATGTGTCACACAGAAGCTGAAGGGGGAGGACTGAAACCTTTCACTGCCATGCTTCAACTTTTTAAACTACTGATTGTTTTCCTTTTAGATGGATGTATGGCCTTTGCAGTTAGCAGGTGATGAAATAAGACCTTTTCTCTTCTTTTCTTTAACACAATAGAAAGAAAGCTAAACTTTGTATTCATTTGTACAATTTTTAGTTGGAGGCTTTCAACCTATATGAGCTTGTAGACATTATTTTTGCATTTTCGAGATCAAATAATTTATTCTTAATGTTTCTTTTCAGGGCTTTTTTTTTTTTCAAAAATTGGGAAACATGCTGAAAAAAACTGGAACAATACAATTTCTGATGGAGAATATCCCTTCAGATTGTTCCATGCAATCAAATGCCTGGCAGAGCACAGGAATCATGCTTGTTATCAAATATTTGCTGCTGACACACTTTGATACACAGGATATCTTTAATTTAGAACCCTTAAAGGAATGTGCAAAAATTATTAAATTAAAACTCTTTAGACTTTGACACCAAGGAACCATTTTATTGGAATCTAAAGGGTCAGTGATTCTGCACAATATGGAGATCAATCTTATCCTAATATGGGAATGATGTCTAAATCATTTTGGGGTTTTCTAATGCATTTATGTAACAAGAGTAAACAGGATAAGACATAGAAGAAATGGTAGGACCAGAGTTGCAGTATTAGAGTTCGACCATATGTCATTTAGCCAATTTCAATATTGGAGAGGTATCTAAAAATAAACTCAGAAGATTAATAGAGACATAAAAAGCTTCTAGGCTGCAGAGCAATTGTTCGATTTCAAAATTCACTGAATTGTATGAAAAATTATTTAGTAATTACTTATAGATTTTCAAGAGGACAAATCCAAATAGGAAAAAAGGAGAAAAATCCAGGACATACGTGAAACATTATTTCCAGATGCAACTGTATTTTATCATAGTTTAGTTTTCATTTAATTCTTCACTTAAACTACCTTGAAAAAAAGAAAGTATTTTTAACGAGCAACTGTTCCAGCTCCTTTAAAAGACTAAAAGAAAAACTGCCTCCTTTCTACCTGGATATAAAAACAGTGTTGGTGTTTTTGCAAACTACTGTTTTTCTGTTTACCAGATACAGAAACAAGAATCCTGAGACAATGCATCTCCCTGTGCCGAAAGCAACAATTTTCTGTTTAAACTATGTTCCCAAAATCTATAATTTGGTTAAGTCAGAGGGGCATACGTTTCTGCAAAACATGAACTTTTTTTTAAAAGTCATTTTTAAAACTCTCCATCCTGCTGCTGTAAATACTGGCAAAACTTTTGCTGCTGAAAATAGAAACCCAAATAATGATGCACTTTTTACTACTGAAAACAATGTATATATAAAAACACTTCAATATAAAGCTGTGTGGGATATATTTCTCTTATTATACGGTCTGTGAAGTGACCCCCAAATGATTGATAGGCTAGACTTTTTTTATACGAGTAAACAGTAAATAAGGAAAATAAATGGTTGTTTTAAAACATAAATAAACATGAACAGTTCTGGTCAAAAGTTCACTTATAACCATCTGCATTAATGTCATTGTTGTGGATTTTTTAATGATTTAGACAATATTGTTTTTTTTCTGAGTAGAATTGATCATAAAAGACGCAATTTTCTACAAAACAAGGGATTTGGATCTTTGCTTTATTCATTCAAATGGCTTCTGAGGTTCAGGATTGATTCAGAGGATTTTTCAAAAGTTGTGTTAAATGTGGGTAATTCCAGCAGCTTTTGTCCAATAGCTTCACATTAGCTTCTTTGCTAGCATGAAGGTGAACATATTGATATGTGTTTGGATCTTTATCCTGCTGTAACACAAGCTGTGTCCGAATTGTAAGTTCTAGCTCTTAATTTGTGATGAAGCTGAAGGTTTGGAGGATTGTCTTCCTCATTCTTTGTGTAAAGAATCAGTTCTGCTTACAGCTGAACGGGCCCCCAGCATGATACCACAACCACCATGCTTGTTTTTTGAGATTAGAAAATTCTTAGCTTCACTCACCTAAAAATTTTCCTTGTGAAACATAATACAACATTTTCCTGGTCAGCTTACACTGTCAGACATGTTTAATGGCGCTTTTTATTTTTATGTTTTTGTTAAGGGGGTTATGTCTTTGTTAACTCCCTCTCAGTCCATGGTACAAATATCTTCAGAGTGGACAGGAATGCTGTTGCTCCAGGATCTGTCATTATTTAATAGCCTTTAGTCATTGTTGAGCATAATTTGGTGTTTCAGGTGGACAATAAACCCAAATTCACATCAAAACAACTTTTTGGAAAAAAAAGCAGGCTAGCATCCAGGTTTTTAAATGACCCAGAATGTCAATCTAATACAAATGTACGGATTATGCAAAAAAAAAAAAAAAAAAATAGCTCTGCCTATTTAAGAAAAAAAAAATCAAACTGATGAATTTTCCAATCTGAATTTTATCCAAGTGTTGTTAATTGCTGCATTTGCCCAATTTTACTGGGCCTGTATGTATAAAACTGAGCTTGTTTAAAACTATTTAGTGAAACAAACTGAAACTGCTACGCCAAACTTAAACCAAAGCTTCAGGGTCATCTTTGATATTTAAAACTGAGAAGGTTGTTTTTCCTTTTTTTCAGGGTGATAAACCTTTTTATATTAAAACAAACAACATATGATGCAATAAAAACATTTAAAACACGTCAAAAGACATCTGAAGCTAATAACTAAATAAAACGGTTTGCCTCTTTATTCCTTTTTAACAGGAACAATGGTGATGATAATTTCCTTAAGTAAAACTATATGAAGGTTATTTTGTTTCCAAATTATTTGTGGATTGTAGTTTTAAATTTGAAGTTGTGGAGAGAGTTATATTCTAAGTTTTGTATTTGTAGAGTATTGCCCGCAGTTTTGCTCACGCTGCAGCGCGAGCAAAACTGAGAATTTAAGAGGTTTTTGATGTGCAAATTGTAGAACATAATCTGTATACTTGTACTTGAAATTTGAACAGGGGCAAAAAAAAAAAAAAAAAAAATTGTACTTGTGAATTTACAAATACAAAAATTAGAATGTTACAATCTCTTTACATTTTCAAATTCACACTTACAATGCACAAATAGTCTTGAAACAAAATAACCTTAAAAGATTTATATCCATTAATTAAAATGGGAAGGAAATCTGCCGATTTGTGCAGGAGAGATTTCTGGACCACACTGACTACCAGCTAATAAGCTCTTTTAGACATTTAAATTTCAATAATGTTTGTCAATATTTGGCCATATTTTGACAAATATCATAAAAGTCTGATAAGCATGAAATTAATATGACATTTGCGTTCATGATAAGTGGATCTGGATGCCTGACTGGAGCCCATAATCAACCTTTTATTACATTTACTCAACTGTGTGAGAAATAGGGTTTCTATAGCATCTCTAGTTTCAGAGACGCTGATCTAATAAAATGTAACTGCTACAGATCTGCTACAGCTGAGCTCTGATCCACTGTAGCTCCTCTCAGGCAGCGCCAACGCCTCAGATGCAGAGCAGCCCAGTGTAACTGAGCTGAGACTCGATGATCGACCACTATAATCAACCCTTCCAGTGGCACATGAACTGTTTTGGACTTCCTGTCAAATAGCTCTTTGTTGTAATTTAAACTGTTGCAGCGTGCGTATTTATATTCCTCCAGATTCTGATGTATATGTATTTTACTGTAGATTGTGTCGTGTATTAAGAGTTTGAACCTTTTTTTTTTTCCTTTTTATCACTGTAATTTATATTCAGTAATGTTTGACACAGATGCGAGCTTTTGCTTTTAATCCTGATCCCATTGTTGATATGACTGCAGTAAAACACTGGAACTCTGCCTACTGCTGTAAATGTTTCAGCTATGAGATAAATACAGATACTTGTATAATGTTGTGCTCAGTAAGCAACTCATGTTCATTTAAAAAAATCTTTATTAGTAAAGCTCTACATACAGGTATGTACAACTTCTTCAATCCTAGCTTTTTTTATCAGTGTATCTAACATCTCTGCAGCTACAGTATGTTCTGCTCTAAACCGGGTCATGGCCTGGTTTCCTTTCCGGTTCTAAGAAATGATCAGCCAGAATAATTTTCCAGCCACCATGCCACTATGTTTTGGCACACATCAAAGTAATAAATACTTTATCTACATGTCGGTTTGAATTTATATTTACAGCGGATTAATAAAGATTCTCCTGAGTGCGGCGGGTCAGCCCCAGCCGTTGATGTGATACTGGGCGTCTGATAGGCTGGGATCATGGAACTCCTTCCCGCTTCTCTGCAGCTTGGGCACTAACGGAGGAGGTGGCCGACTCAGAAAAATGTGGCTGTCTCTGTCTGGCTGTGGGTCAGAGAGGGAAAAAAAATTTTCTGTAAAATATTCTTTGGAAAACATCTCCTTCCTGGAAAGTTATATTAAGCAACAATTTATCAGAAAAAAACTGATAAACAGAGAACAAGAGGAGGGATTTCTGTAATCTGCTTTTAACTCTTTTTCTGTTAAAACCGAAAACTAAAATGCAAGAAAAGATTCAGTTCTTATTTTGAAAAAAAAAAAATAACCCAAAACATGATGCATGTTTTCTGAGGGGGTATCATGTCTGCAACCATACAGTATGGTAAAAATAATTTAGATAAATGCTGTAAAGGCTATCTCTCCACAAATCCACCAACTTTTCTTACTGATTATTCAAGCTAATAATATATGAAAAGCTTATTATTAAGGATTGGAAAGAAAATCTTCAAATTTTCTTCTGGTCATTTTATACTGTATGAGAACTCAATAGCAGACCTGCGGGTAAATCCTTATGGGTCACTCCTACTGCAGCATTCGTCAACCACACCCACTTAAAGTTTACAACCATTTACACAATAGCTGTTATTAAAATTTGTGTTAATGAAGACAAAGATGCATGCTGGTGCCGCTTCTGTGGGATACATACAGGCCTTAGAGATATGAAAATGTAAAATCATGAAAACTGAGAGACTAGTATTTTTGTTGGTTATGCTGCTCCCATACACCTTATAATGTACCCCAGTAGACAGCCTATATTAGCATATCAAAGATACTCCAGCCATCCATTAATAAGGCCTCTGTATCACTTTAGATTAACCCCCATTTTATATGTGTTTGGATAGAGTATGTCTGGATAGAGTATGTTAGTGAAAATGCATAAAAACATTGAATTTGATGCAGCTTATGCAACTTTGCAGTTAGAAAAACAACAATGTGATGCTGTAAAGCAGTTTTGAAAAAAAGAACCACTGAGTCAGAAATCTTATTTAGTGTTTCCTCCACTCTGATTGGCTGTTTGCATTAAAATTAATCTGCTTATTTTTACAGATTACTATAATCCTGATAAGTAGTTAAACTGTTCAGTAATGCTTACCAGAATACTACCACAAAAAATGTGAAGTATCCCAATAAAATAAGTAAAAAAGTGAAATCTACTGTATTACTAGATCTTTTATGCTACTTTTCCGAACAAATGATAAATTATTCAAATTCCCTCTAATTTCACTCTCTCAGTTCCATACATGTCAAGTTTTGGATTTGAAAGAAAGGGGAATTTTACAAAATGAAAAAAATATGATGCTGTATGAAATGAATACATGCACCAAATTTGAATATGTTTATTTGGTTTAGCTTCTAAAATTGAATTATATTTACCTATCCTGCATTGAATTAAGTTATGTTCAGCTTACTCATAGGCTGTAAATAACCAAATGACAAATAAATCTGTTTTATCAGCTCAATTTAATTTATTTTAAGAGTGGAAACTGTTTTTGTCAATAAAGATGCATGCATGTCACATTGCCAAAAAGCCTTCAGAAACATAGAGCTGCCTGTGATCATGGATCTTAGCCTCAAGGTAACTTATGGTTTCATGTGTGTGGACTTGGGCAACAACTAACTCCACCATATGACCATATGACCTCCACCATGCTGACTTGCTCTCTGGTAAAAGTGGTCCGACAATTAAAGGAAATAATCTTAGCAAGGACCAATTTTCATGAGCAGTGCAAAGTAACCTAAAATCCTTGAGTTCACTTAAAAGACCATCCTTTTGAGCTCAAAAGGCACCCTTATAATGAACTCAGAAATTTTACTTCACATTGCATCATAAATAAAATATTCATACATATTGTGTTACATAAATTAAATATTACTAAATATTTCTGGAACCAATTACTTTAGGTATCTTTAACGGGGGGCTCGAATAATTTTTTTTAGTGTACTGAAAAAACAAATAGTTAAGAATGGTGACATATTGTAAAATATATTGACCAGATTCTGGAACACATGAGGCATAATCTTATCTCTTTCAAGTGCAAATTTGAGCCCATTTACATGATTTATGTTTATCTTTCATATATTGTCTTAACTAAATCTTAGGCCATTTTCTTTATATTTACAAGCTTTATGAGCTCACATGCTCTGTTGATTTTTAACAGGAAATGTTAATCTGCTAAAAACAAGGGAGCAACTCAATGCATTCAGGCATGTAGATATGTTTAAGGAGTGGAATATTTTCTGGGTGCACTTTGAGTCCCTAAGTAACAACTCATCATCACTGAAACACCACAGCTTACATGAGCATTGATGTTAATGATGCCCATTCCTCTATCACCACAATGCACCTTCTTAGTGCTAACTCAGTGCACCGTGTCCCAAATTTCAAATAATAACTGTTTTCTTAGACAATGAGTTAACTTTACTTCATGTGTATCTCCATTCAGCAGATATGAATCCAACAGATTGCCTTTAGGAAGTGTTGTAGATTTTTGTTTTTGTCAAGCAGCTTTTTAGTGGTTATTCATGTTCCTAAGACCGGTGTTGAGAAGAACCTTCTCTGTTGTGACTTCCAAACTTTAGAAGAAGAATGACTTTCATCTCATCTAAAGACTCATCTTTCTAACTTGATTAACTAGATTTTGGTTCTATTCATATATATAATTATATATGTATTTTTAATTATTTTTATTGCTTGTATTCTCTTAGATGCACTCTTAATGTTGCATATAGTTACTTACTTACTCGTATAATTTTATAAGCTGTGCAGCACTTTAGCCACTTTGGGTATACAAAGGCCTCTATAAATAATTCATGATATATTAATCAATGCTGCAGGTTGGGAGTTTCACATCATAGATGTTCGGCTGAAAAATCTGCAGCTGCCAGATGTTTTTATGTTGTTATGAAACAAAAGTTATTTGAGTACCTTATTAAATCTACAGTATCATATTTAGAAATAAAACAGTATCTAACAATGACTGGTAGGGTTTAGGTTCCTTAAAAAGCCAAAATAACTTGATTATTTATTTTTTGTTTGTGCTCTATGAGAGATTTGCTTCTATAAATACAACACAGCCAAACCTGCTGCAGATGGAAAATCCAGGTCTGGTAATCCTCCTCACAGGTGCAGGAAACTTGCAGTGGCTCCACCAGCTCCCCTGCAGCAAAAACAAATATTACGTACATGAATTCCAGCATTCCTCATGGGTCTTTGGAAAAATGGCAAAAGCAATAAGACTGGCTTCTGATTAAAAAGAAAAACATGATTTCCTGAAGTTTTTACCTCTCAGATCAAACTCTAGCCGTCCAGGAAGAGCTGAGCGCTCCACTGCTTTGATGCTGTGTCGAGCCAGCCTGCCCTGTGACCGACGACATGGAAAACACAAAAGGAAGGGGAATGTATGCTGTTCTTTTCTTTTTTCATTAATTATTACTGTGAATCTGTTATATTAATAGCTAATCAAATAGGTGTGAGATAGAAAATTTCCCCCCATGTGAGCCATGTATCAACGGAACAAGCGCCCTGTAGTGATTCGCAGGTCAGCAGCTGTTATTATGGGTTTTCCACTGAGAGTTATCATACACTACCTCATACTTTACATTTAGCCGCTTGCTGTCCACAGAAAGCAGCAGGACATCATGTGGAAAGAGAACCATCAGTCTTTCCTGGAGACCCTGCAAGAAAAAAAAAATAAAAAACACCATGTCCCCCATTAGTTAAAAACTGCCTAAAACAACAAATTCCACTAAACCTCAAAGACTCCTCATAACTTCAGCACAATAATAGGAACTCCCTCAGGAATATAAAGTATTTAATTATTTGACATTTTGTTTTAATATGAACATGTTTCAAAATATTTTTTTTTATCATAGTCTGTAAAAAAAAAAAAAAAAAAGGTTATTTATGAAAATATGTTGAAGGAAAATCTTACACACTCAAAACAGTAGAAACTGAGCAGAAAGAATGAGAAATTCAAGCTTGATTAGCATTTATTCAACAGTAACTACCTTCTTAGATGTCATCAAGAAGGTATTTAGGCAAGGTCACACAGCCTCCACTTTTTATGTAACGTAAATCCTTTTTATTTTTGCCACAATGGGGAAATTAACTCTCTGCATTTGACCCATCCTCTTGGGGAGCAGTGGGCTGCCATCATGCGGTGCCCTGGGAGCAATGTGGGGTTAAGTGTTTTGCTCAGAAACCCAGAGTGGAGGCTGTGGGGATCAAACCGGGCACTTGTAACCTTCTCAGATAACAAGCACTGCTCAACCACCAGGCCAACACTCCCCAACATGACACTAATGGTATCTGATACTTCTCTAATAGCCCTTAAACAGTTATGGGAGAAGGATTTAAGTTATACCTTTTCAGAGGCTGAATGGGAGGGGCTACTTAGAAACAGGAAGAAAACATCAAGAGAGTTGAGGACTCGATTAGTTCAATTCAAAATATTACATAGAATATACTGGACTCCTCTTAGGCTAAACAGAGTGGGTTTGGCAGATAATCATAAATGCTGTAAATGCCAGGAGGATAACGGCACATTGGTACATATGCTGTAGGAATGCCCAGAAATTCAGGTCCTTTGGACATCAGTTCATAGAGTAGTCAGGGAAATCCTCGACAAGGATATTCCATTTTGTAACAGACTTTACATTCTTGGTGACCCCTTGATTATGAGTTCTTTGCCATCATTTCTGTCACAGTGGGCCCAAACTACAATTATGCTTGGAAGGAAATTGTTAGTAATGGAATGGAAGTTTGCTTCAACTCCATCTATTGCCATACTAGTTCAAAAACTTCAGGCATCTAAATAGGTTGGCGATACCTCTAAATTTTAGGTCCAGATTTGTTTGGCATCAACTCTATTTTATTATTACTAGTTAGTTATTTAGTGTTGTTATTTTAATTTTATTGTTATTATTTTTGCTTTATTTCATTTTGCTACACCATATTGATATGGAGATGTGTAATTTTTGCTGCATATTCTATTAGAGCATTTATGTTTTGTACTCCATTATTTTCTATATTAATTTTGTTCTGTGTGTTAATGTTCCAAAGACTGAATCTGATATTATGTGGATTGCTGTTTATAGATGTTTATTGTTATTATTTGAAAACAATAAAGTTCAAGTCATAAAATAACAGTAAGTACATCTTCCATAAAAGAAGAAATGCATTTTTTTAAATTCAGCAGTCTAGTCCTGTAGCGCTGGGCCTGAGGTAAGGATAAAATACGATATTTACATAAGCTGTGGAGAAAGAAAAAAAAATCTGACATAAGGTATGACGAAAGGTCACTTCCTTAGCATATTTTACCTTAACTAACATAAGATAAATGTTTTACACATGATTAAAAGACTCTTGGTGCCTGATCCATACAAAACCCAAATAAGACATGTTAAATTGCATATGTTGGTCTTTTTTGTTGTTGTTTTTTTTTTTTTTCTGGCAGTGCATTAAGGGCACTTTGTCATCATTAAGAAATCCACCCATTCATCCATTTTCTGTCACACTTATCCCAAGTGGGGTTGCGAGGAATGCTGGTGCCTATCTCCGGCTGACTACGGGCAAGAGTCGGGGTACACCCTGGACAGGTACCCAGTCCATCGCAGGGCAACACAAAGACACAGAGAGACAAACAACCACTCACGCACACACTCACACCTAAGGAAAATTTTAGAGAAACCAATTAACCTAACAGTCATGTTTTTGGACTGTGGGCGGAAGCCAGAGTACCCGGAAAGAACCCATGCATGCTCAGGGAGAACATGCAAACTCCATGCAGAAAGACGTCAGGCCCAGAATCAAACCCAGAATCTTCTTGCTGCAAGGCATCATTAAGACATATTATTTGTAATATGTCATATATTATTTATATATTATTTTTTATTGTTTGTTTTGTATTATTTATTATTATTTATGATTTATCAGAAGGCTTAAGGTTATTCTCCTCAGATGGATCTATTTGTCCCCTATTTGTCTATTTGTTTTGAGATGTTGCATTATTATTTCCACTCTGTAGAAATCTATTAGTGAGGTGCACCAGTCCCTCCTGTGCCTCCCTCTTTACTTTACAGGTCTCAGATTTCCTGCTTTTTTTCCTCAGAACTGTCATCGTATCTAAAAACTAAATAAAGACACATATTCCAACATTTTTATTCAATATAATATATTACCTATTCTATATGTTTTAAAAGCCCACCTCTAAATAATGCACAGATTTTTCCAATAAAATTGCCATGATAAATGTATATATTTATCGGTGTATGATGGAACTGATTAGTTATAGCAATTATAACACAGACAAGCTTGTTGCTTTAGCAGTCCCACATTATGCCACACAAGATGAGCAGGTATTGTGGAAAAAAAGGATAAAAAAAAAAAAATAATAATAGTAAAATAAGTTAAAGGCCTGATGGGGTTTTGATTATGAAGCAATCCTTCTGATGACATTCAGAAACCCAACTACCTGTCTTTGAGTGTTGATGATGTGAACAATAGAGATGTATCCTGGCTGACCCATGTGCTGTATAGGCGAGCCCTCCCAGTTCCATATGGGAGCCTGCAGCAAGTATTTTTTCAGCTCCTCTCTTTTCCAATGTTCATCACAAGGCAACTAGCAAGCAAAGATAAAAAAGGGGAAGGTTTAAATGCACTGTTGGAATCACGCACGCCTTTAAACCACATTTGCAAAAGATGTGAAAAAATTACAAGATAAGAAAGAGCACAGTGGGAGGGACTCATGGGTTGCATCATGGACTTGTATCTCCTGTCCTCTATGTTCTGCATCCACCTCTTTAACTCTGCAGCACTGGCACACATAAACACCTTCGAGTCCATCATTGGACCTGGACAAAAGACAGAACAGAAGAAATTAAACTTAACAATCTGAATTATTGAGCTAAAACTTCACTGGGATTCGTCTCACTGCTGATCTCAAACATGTGTGGTGAATGGGATACGTCCGGCTCCAGGGATACAGCTCGGAGAGACAGCCCAGAAACAGGAAGAATACCCTGCAGGAAAAGAAAAGGCAAACCTTGAGTAACTAGAAGCATACATCTTTGGGTAGACTCAGAGGGAAAGGTCAAAAAGAGTTAACTGATATCAAATCAGATACCTCATATATGAAGTCTTCTCTGGAGTGGTCCAATGACAGGATCAGAAGGTGAAAAGAGAACAACAACAGGAACCGTTCACTGGTTTCCTGTGAATATAGATGTAGAGAAGCAGAGGTATATTCTGCGTTCTTTGCCTCAGCAGGAAATAATACAATAAGATAACAGATTACATTAGTTAGGAAAAGTAGCTGTATCCAAATAATAAGCACATGACAACCAGAGGTGGGTAGTATCTAGTTACATTCACTCAATTACAGTTACTTTAGTAACTTTTTGATAAAAATATACTTCTAGGAGTGCTGGTCCATAATTTTCTACTTTGTTGAAGTAATATCTATAAAATATCCCTACTCTTGCTTGGGTATAAAGTTTTGTAACTTCACTGAATAACAAACACGCTTTTTCCTTTAGACAAACAGTTATGTTATGTTTATGTCGCAATCTATTTTATTTTTGTACACAAGACACAAGATATGTTTTTCTTTTAGAAAGACTCAAATATTTTGTAGGAATTAAAGGAAGAGCACTAGACTGGTTTAAATCTTATCTATCTGATTAATTTCAGTTTGTTCACGTTAATGACAAATCTTCATCATCCTCCAGCGTTAGCTGTGGAGTACCACAGGGATCAGTGCTACGACCAATTCTCTTTACTATATATATGCTCCCAATGGGTAGAATTATTAGACAACATGAGATTATTTTCTACTGTTATGCTGATGATACTCAGCTATATTTGCCTATAAGATATCCAGATGAAGCTAACCCATTACATAGATTACAGGCAAGTCTTGAAGACAGAAAAAGCTGGATTACTCTTAACTTTCTGCTTCTGAATGCAGACAAAACAGAGTCTTTGAAAAAGAAGCTGATTAGTCAGTCACTTCATTTAGATGGGATTAAACTGATTTCAGATAATAAAGTAAAAAATTGTGTTGTTATTTTTGATCAGGACCTGTAATTTAAATCCCATATCAAAGAAGTTTCTAGAATTTCCTTCTTTCATCTGCGGAATATTGCAATAATTAGAAATATCCTGTCCGGGGTGCTGGGTCGCTGACTGAACCAGACCAGGCATTAGAACCGTGCTGTGAGCTCCGGGGCTCGTCTGGGAATCCCAGCATCGGGGGACCGAGCGATCGAACCCGTCCTGGTGACAGTATGCTTCCCTCCACCTGCCCGGTTCTGCTGCACTGTAGTCGACCAAAATCCCGGACGATTTTAAGATTCCCCCCGGAATTTTTTTTAGATATGAAAAGTAGGACACGTCCGGGAAAAACGGGACATCTGGTCACCCTACCATATCAACAATTTGATTCAGTGAGTGAGTGCTTGTTGATATGATGTGTTTTTGCTCAGCAGCTTTGCTCATTGTAAACCAACCAATCAGCGCACAGCTCATCTAAATATTCATGAACATACCATTCGTTTCATTCTGGGGCTTTTAACCAGGCTTGCATTAGGGCTCATAGAACAGCAAATATGCCATTTTCAGCCCAACCAATGTTACCTTGAGAGGACATGTGTTGTGAATTGGTGCTATATGAATAAACTGAATTGAAATGAGTTTCTTGAACCTACAATGACGTTCAGAGGTCATACTAATATACAGTTGTAAATTAAGGTTCTGGTTTTAAAAGTTTTATGTTAAAAAGAAAACTGCTTTTTTCTACTCAGAATTGTTATTTTTTGGGTAGAAAATAACAATTCTGGTTGAATTTGCAGATTAATTAACATTTTGGTTTGTTTTTATTAAATAATTGTAAACATCAGATTTTATGTTTAGTTACTCGGTACGTCAGTAGCCTTTTTACCAATTTGGTTTTTCCTTACTTGAGTAAAAATATAATTAAGTAGTATTAATCTTACTTAAGTATGATTGCTGAATACTCTACCCACCTGGCATGATTTCAAATGTCAGAGAAATAGTTAGAAGTGTAAACCACCTGAAAATATGTGAAACAAGGCTAGATGTATGTATAAATTCTTTTTGGAACAGATGAGAGGGAGGATGATGATAGGTAAGGTAACAAAGAAAAAAAAAACACAAGAAGTGTATCTTCATATCTCACTAACAGCAACAAATATTTTTTCAATGGGATATAATGTTGCTACTCTTTTAACAATGTTTGCCAGGGGGTGCAAATATGTTTTGGGGTGACATAACACATTTTGCAATAATTGAATAAATATATTTGTTGAATTTTTCCTATTTCTATATGTTACCTGTGTGTAGCTGGTATAGAGTGAAACCAGAGAGGAATAGATGACCTCTCCATAAACATGAGCAGGTTGGCCTTCCCAGCCCCTGATTGGCTGCTGAGAGTAAATCCTGTGGTGGAGCTCATCTCTGGTCCTGCCCCACAGCACCACCTACAGACACAAGCAATATCAGATGTACATTTGTCAGGGGATTGAACATAATCTACCCTCAGACAGAGGGTTAATAGATAAACTACACGTTAGAAACGAGTTTCTCTTTTAAAGCTTTCAGTAAAAAACTTCTCTTTTTTCATTTTCTTGCTCATAGTATCTGTTTTTACAGTCCTGTTTGTTGCTTGTTTCTTGTTTGTATATTAAGCCACTGTACTCAGAGCTAGGAGCTGTTAAAACTAAAATGTTTTGTCTACACACAGTGGCAGTTGTTAAAATGGTTATTATGGCTATCTGCCCAGGGTAGCATAACCTGCAGGAGGCCAAGAGCAAAAACCTGAACAATAGGTTTACTGGAACGCCCCAAACAGGTTTATTATTGTGTATTTGACTGCCTACTCATTTTAGCACAGAACAGGCTTTTTCAGGGAGGACTCAAAAGTAGGGATAACATTCAGCTAAAAAAAAAAAAAAAACAGTTACCAGCAGCTTCTCATACAGACACAAAGAAAACTTCAGGAGATGTTTACGATCTTAATGGATTAGCAAATACTATCTTCTTTTGTATACAAACAGCCCATATGGAAGAATTGAACTATTTACCATTTTCTCTATGCTCTCTTATAAAACTGCTATTTTAAAGGGAGTGTTTGTGGTGCTCTGACCTCCTGCTCCTGGAGTCGTACTGAGGCTTTGCTTGGCAGCTGTGGTGGGAGCTGGTGCTCATCTCTGCTGGTCCTCACAGAAAGCTGGACTCTGTTTTCGCTCAGACTCCATACACTGAAAAAAACACACAAATCAAACAGGAATCTGAGTATTTGATCAAATCAGATTAGTATCATGTATCAGCAACAGGAGCCGAGCGAGCAGCTCATAGATTTGCTCTGTGGCCTCACTGTAGCTGGGTGACCGGTTAGCAAACTGCAAATGTTGAAGTGTTTTATGTTTTTGGGGAAATATGCAGCCTTCAGCTGACCAAAGCGTTTGTTGCTAAAAGAAGATAAAATTGGGATAAACAGTATTATAACCTAATGATAATGTCTTGTCTGCAACCCCCTAACCAATCCTAATCAGATTATAAAGGTTTGAGGGGAGACAGACCGGCTGCTTATTTATTCCTTTAACAATTTGTTGCTACAGTCTATCCTCTAATAATAATGACTCGGCAACAGATTAGAGGACATGCAAACTAAATTATACCAATCTAATCCAATTTATTCCATTTTCATTTGAAACAAATAACAAATAAAGCAACAACAGATAGCATTCCTTCAGCTCATTCATCATGTTAGAGTAAAATAATTAAATAAATAAGGTTAAATAACAACTACATTACTATAATATATACTATAATTTCTTAAACATTTTGTTAATTTACAATTATTATTATAAAAATGTATTGTATGGGGATTTACTGTGAAAGAGCATCTGGATAATATTAAGTGAAATGGAAATAACATATGTTTATTATTTTTTTCTTTAGGTAAAGCTAACACATGTAGGTATTTCAAGCTGAAAAACTCATACGGAAAGAAAAAGACAATTATAAGAAATTTATTAATACGATTACTTTTACTACCTCAGCAGGAAACATAGCGCTGCATTTTGTTTGATATGCATGAACAGGGGTATGAGAACAGGGATGTTTCCCCCCAGGCCTTAAACCTGGTGGTGGAGTGGAGATGGATGAAAATGGTCAGTCTGTAGACTGCTGGTTGGTAAGACGGTGTACTTGAGCTGTATGGAGAGATCCAGTGGACTGCGTGAGCTGATACTAGAGGTTCACTCAGGGACCTGGAAGATGGAAGTCCAGCTTTCATAACACAGGTTGCATTAAGCTGTCCATGATGAGCAAGCATGAAGCAACAGTGGAGAGGAAAAACTCCCCATTGGGAAGAAACCTCTGGCAGAACCAGGTTCAACATGGCGGTCTTTTGACGGACTGGTTGAGATGAGACAGGGAATGCAGTAAGAGTCAGTGAGGAATGACACCCTGATGAAGCTTTGGCTAAGATGGTGAAGAAGGGGATGGAGGTGGGTTAAATCAGGGTCATTCGAATAAAGTCAGACACAGCCCAACCACTGCCTGCGCTTTGGGTAGCAGACGGAGTTATGGATTGGAGACCTTTTAAGATGGACTCCGGATGCTAACTGGGCTTTATGGAGGTGTAGTTCAAAGCTGATTAGCTTGTGTCAGAGGTGGGTAAGAGTAAGTAATCAGTTTTTTCAGCTAAACTTCCGCCTAGGCTCTGTTAAGCCTTATACTTTAACACTGAAGCACAGAAACACTTATTACAGATTATCAACTAAATTTAGTTGTGGACTTTGACTATACCATTCTAATTCTTTGATCTTGCCAACTGGCCTCATGTTTGGGGTCCTGCTGGAAGGTGAATCCCTTTTAGTCTCTTGAAGGATTTCTTTTAGGGCTGCTCTACATTAGAGCACCAACTATTATGCATCAACTCTGAAAATCATCCCTATTCCCAGCACAGATAAAGAATCCCCATAGCATCACGATGTCACCTCCATACTTTGCTTTGTTGAAGGAAAGCCCTGGGTAAGTTGCACAATTAGTTTTTGACCACAACTAGGGCCTCATCTACAAAGATTCAAAATGAGAGGCGCTATTCTGCATATAAATACTGTATATTTTTAGTTGATAATAAGTCGGTGTGTGGAAGGCGATCTACAAAGATTGCTGCGCAAATGTCAAGATGTGCAAACCGATTTGGTTTTAGCACATTAAAATGAGCAGATTGTGTGTTCCCTTGTGGCACTGTACCAATGCCACTTTTGTGGCAGCAATGATTGTGGTTATTTTTGTGTCAGTTTCCAGCTGACTTTCAGAAGCACTAAAACTGCAGTAGCAGTTTAGTTTCAGATTTGGATACTTTGATTTGAATGTAGTAAATTTTTGACATTGCATATTCCCCACCCATGAATTTCCAGGATTTGGTCATTAGAGTCAGATTTGCATCTTGATGCACACACACACAAAAAAAAGTTTGCACACCCTGACTGCTGAAATGCAAATGCAAATCCCTTGTACCTTCTCTGAAGTTCTGCCTTTTGTATGCATACATGTTTGAACCTGTTTTAAGAAGTGCAAACATTTTGAAGATTAGACCCATAATGTTTTGTTTGTTTTGCATGTAAGCAAATTAAACATATATATATATATATTTATCTGATTTGACCATTGCTCTTACACTTTTGCTATGACAACAATCTATAAACCACAAACATCAAACAACGTTGACTTCCTTCTCGTCACTCTTCCATACATTATTTTCTTCTTTAAAATATTAGAAAGTATTGGTAATTTCCTGCACTTAACATTTGCAAAACTGTATATTATTTTACTGCATTAAAATATCATTACATAAATAGGCAGTTGTTATGTGACAAGTTGTTGAGTGGTATATTAATAACCATAGATATTTTATATTCAATCATATCAAGGCACTGTAGAAAACAAAACCAATAAATTAACATAGTATTCCTTAGTTCAGCATTTTAAAAGCCTAAGACAGAAAGATTTCCTCCTGTCTGGTGGCTTTGCAGCAGCAGCATTAGGAGGTCTCTGACAATGTATAGAGTTCTAATCTAGGAGCAGTGATCCGGTAGAGCGTAAGGAGGGCCCATGACCCTTTCAGCTCCCTTAACTATCCTCTGCAGAGGCCTTTTTATCTGTTAGTACTGCAGCTGGAGTTCTATGCTGGGGTTGATAGAAGGTGACTCATATTTTTGCTTCCTCAGAAAGTGCTATACCTGCTTGGGCCCATCTAACCCTCACAACAATCTTATTTCAGCAAAAAAGGTCATTAAAAGATTTAGATTCCAAAAAAAGTCAAATGAATGTGTTAAATTCCCCTCAATGCCAGAAAAGATATCCAGGTTGTGTATCCATTGCATTTATCAATGGATAAATCTCACTTTAATCTCATCAGAAACCTTAAATATGTCTTATGGATCTTAAGGGAATCCTCTTTGCATAACTAGCACAGTTGACTTGAGCATATGAAGGCTGTTCACACTCCACTTTATCTTAGCCTATTCCATTGCAAAGTAACCCAGGTACTCTGAGGTTGACATCTGTACATTTTTGCAGGGCCTAGAACTACCACAACATGGGTTCTAGAATCAAGAGTAGATCAAGACTGAAACTCTGAAGCATTACCAATGAGATACAAAGGCAACAAGGAAAAGAAAAAAAACCTATTATGAATACAGAATATCAATGACCAGGGCTACCAGAGCCTTTTTTTGTTTTTGCATTTTATGTTTTTAGGACCTTATATTGCATCTTCAACTTGAATAATCTGGTTTGACTGATATGGGAACTTTGACATCTTTGAAGATAATCTACGATCTGTTTAAGATTTTCAGTTTAAACACTGTGAAAGTCTAAATGTGATAAATTAGTTTCCTTTCATAAAGGAATTCATCCCTAAAAGGGTTATAGAGTTATAGAACTCATCAACGAGTCTTCACAGATTTTTATAGAAAAGGCTAATAAATCTTTAATTAGCCAATGCAGTCATATTTATCCTATCGTTTACCTACCATACACTTCAAACTTATAAGCAGATCTCCATGGTTTTGTGAAACCATGGAGAGCAAGATATTAACCAATTTCTTCATTCTGCTTAAAAATTGATCTTTATCTCAGCGCTAGAGCTAATATCACACTCTTCCAGTCAGTTTGTTTCTTTATTAAATTACCAGATTATGATCCCCTGTTCAATCAAAATAACAATTTATGGCTCCCTGCCTGGATTTAAGTGAGCCACCTGGATCTAAGCAACCAGATACGAACCTCCTATCAGATAATTACTGCATGACCGAACATCTTTTAGCTTGCAACAAGTTATCGAACCTCAGTTGATGCAATGAAGCGCTTCTCGTTTTTTAAGCAACCATGTCAAAAGATGCATCCTGTGATCAGGGAAAAGATGTTCAGTCTGTTTTAGAAGAGTTAATTCATTGGCATTCAGCAAACAGAAACTCTAACTTGCAGATTCATAGTGATGAATCTGTCGTTAATATAGTTGCAGCAGATCTGAGGAGTTTAATTTCTGAAGGTATTTGTTGGCTCAGTTAAACTCCACAGAAAAAGGGAATGTGGCACACCAACATATGTGTTGGTGAGAAAAACAAGCAGAGTTTAAACTGTGGTTTCCTGAGGGGAGGAGGTAAAGTGCCCAAGGGGAACTTTTAAAAAATTTAGTATTTCTCTGTGACCACCACTTCCTTTTACCGCATATGTTTTCATACTGATAAACACTTTCAAAAAGTGAGAGTTTGTGAATTTATAAAACATCTGTCATACAGTATATACTAGATACTTCTTTTGAGCTTTTAGCCAAGTTTGTTGCTTTAATGGCCACATTCAGTATAAACCCTCATGATAATGGTTCTAAGGGTTAAATAAAATACTCTGAAAAACTCAGAGGAGAGTTTTGTGTCGGAGGTTGTGGATGAGTCTCCTCTGTCATACAATTTTTTATTTAGAGGAGGAAAGCGGGGATGAAGATGTTGTGGAAGAGGACACCATTGCGGCAGAAGCTTGGTTTGGTGTAGAAGGCTTAAAGCCGTACATGTTTGAGCCCTTGCCTCTCAACGCTGCCGGTTCTGTTAGCTCTACGCCTGCTGAAGACACAGACATCAATCCCCGTGAACACTGCGATGGAACTCAATGGGAAAGTAAATTATTCTTATTTCTTATTTCAACCGTTGCGTATATTAGCTGCGACATATGAATCAAGATGCTATGCCCGAAAAAATTTGATTGACAGATGATCACTGACATATGATTGGCCGAATTTAGGTTTACAAGTTAATGTATAACTAACTGGTCAGCATAATATAATGAAAAAAAAACAAAAATACACAGATTTTAAGACTAATTTTCTGACTTTTGGGACAATATCGTCCGATAAAGATGAAATTTTTGTACATGTTTAAGTCAGAATGATTTGAAATTTAAATATGACTTCCCTAAAACTTTAAGTCTATCAGTCAACATGTTGCATCATCCTTTGGAGGAAATGCATCACCTTTCTTTGCACTGACAAACCAGCTCTAGATAGACAGTGTGTTGTCAGTTATAGGCAGTTTGGGTTTAAGTGGATATTTACTTCAGACATTTCATCCCAAAAGTCCCATCTGTGTGTATGTTGTAGTCTTGAATGACCAGCTGCTGGCATTAATTAAACAACCCATAAGAAGCTGTAGTTCCTGTTTTTGATTAGCCTCCCGTTAATCCCTGAAGCCTCAGACTGAGCCAGGATTTTGTCCAGCCCTTTTCTTTGTATTAAAACCTCTCTACGCTTTTGTCTTGCAGTAATCACCTAATTATATCAGCTTCACCTCACCAGCTTCGCATGGTTTAAGCTGAGGAAACAGGAATCTTTTAGTTTGTCTGTCTCAGTCTTCTGCTGCATGGTAATTTACTGCTGATATAATCTGTTTTTTGTTGCTTTTTTGAAACTATTTATGCCTCTCTTCAGATCTGCTTTCTGACTTGGAACACCTTAAATTTTCTAAACTATGCATACCTCTTGAAACATTTCACATTTATTTCCTGCTACAAACCTTGTTTTGTTGCATTTGATATGATCAATGGGCACAAAGTGCAGTTAGCTCAGGTACCTCGGAATCCCACAAGCAAATGGCAACCTCGAAGAGTTGACAAGGAAAGCAGCTACAGCCAAATACCTCCAACGAGTGAGGCAGGTCCTAAGAAGCCTGCTCAATGGCAAGAATAAGTCTCGGGCAATAAATAGCTACGCTCTACCAGTAATAAGATACCCTGCAGGAATAATAAGCTGGCCAAAGGATGAGATACAGGCCACAGATGTTCAGTCATGAAAGCTTCTAATCATTCAGGGAGGGCATCCTCCAAAACCAGCCCCCTGAGACTGTACACTAGAATGAAGGATGCCGAGGACTAGTGAGTGTGAGAGCCACTATCCAGGATGAAACATCCCAGATCCATAAGTACATCAGGGAAAAAGCTCCAACAGACGACGTGCTCAGTGAATGTCTCAGACAATGGGGAAAAGAAGATGAGGTGCTAGAGGGATCTGTGGTACATCCCATGTACCATACAAACCTAACCATCCATCCATTTTCTGACACGCTTTATCCCAAGCGGGGTCGCAAGGGGTGCTGGTGCCTATCTCCAGCTGTCTACGGGAGAGAGGTGGGGTACACACTGGACAGGTCGCCTGTCTATCATAGGGCAACAAAGAGACAAACAGGAAAAACAACCATTCACGCACACACTCACACCTAAAGAGAATTTAGAGAAGCCAATCAAACCAACAGTTATGGGGATTTCCTCCTGTGGGAGTACCCGGAGAAAACCCACGCAAGCTTAGTGAGAACATGCAAACTCCATGCTGAAAGGGGCCAGGAATCAAACCCAGAACCTTCTTGCTGCAAGGCAGCAGTGCTACCCACTGCGTCACTGAGTACAACACAACCAGGTGGTGGATATTAGGAAATCCTACCAATGGCTAGATAAAGCCGGACTGAAGGACATCACCGAGGTACTCATCATGGCTGCACAGGAGCAGGCCTCGAGCTCCAGAGCAAAAGAGGCCCAGATCTACCGCGCCAGACAAGTCCCAGTCTGCGAGCCGGACTGGAGTTGTGACCGGTAGCCCGGGCCACAGGCGGCTACGCTCTATCCCTTATATTCGTTCGGCTAGCTATTCTGAATCGTTCAATTCCATTTCGAGAGGGAGATCATCTGTGGTAGTAGCACTAGACATCTTCCAGGCATGTGAGTAAAACTAGCAGCAGTTCAGCAGACAGGATGAATGAGGGGACAGTGATTCTTCTTCATGTAATGAATGCTAGCGTAACACAAATGATAAATTATGAACAGTTTAGTTTGTGCCTTCAACTTGTTGCCCATAGGAAGACTAGGAAGACGTTACTTGGATATAAGAAAACCAAATATCTTCGGAAAAGCCCCAAATGACACAAAACTAATATGGGTGAGTAAAACATGATGTAATAACGTAAAATCAAGGGGCCAATGTAAATAAAACGGTGTTCCCCTTTGAAGAGGTGGTTGCCAAAAATCACAAGAAAAGTGACTCAATGACATAATGGATATCAACAATAGAGGACATCTTCATGATGGAGACAATGACCTGCCACCTAAGAATCAATTCCTCTGCCCAAATATGAATAATAATGCTTTTACACTGTTTTTGTATATTTGCTGCTTTTTGTTGTTCCATGCAAACCTGAGAGATAATGACAAAAAAAAAATGGGAATGTCTTGATAGCTGTACTGAACCAAATTTCGTTTTACACCCTGTGTGCAAAAAATGACAATAAAGTTTGTCTAAGTCTAAAGTCTGCCCATGTAGTATCCCTTAGACTTAAAAAGGTTAGTGACCCCTGTAATAGATCTTCTTCAAAGATTTGCTGCCTGCCCCTACCAGAGACAAATGATTCCACCTCCATCGTGTTTCACTGAGGGGAACATTGTAAGCCGAGTGGAGAGCAGTTTTATTTTTATAACACTTACTGCTCAGCATGTAGGCTACAAAAAGCATAGTTTGATCTCCTCATTGTTTTGAATTGACTTGTTTTAGCTTTCTATTTACAATAACTCACTTCTTCCAAATCTTTCACGAGACCACATTTTTTTGCAGTGCACAACTAAAACCAGGCCTGTTAACAGCCAGTCTCTGCTGCTCCTGCCAGTTATGGCGGACTACCATGTAGGTTTTGCAGTGAGATGGATTGAACAAAACTCTACAGGTATGTGATGAAGAAAACATGCAGTATTGTTTAATAACCTGATCCTGCTTTAAAACTTCCTCCCTGACCCATCCTCTATTGTCCTGCCAGTTTGTTCTCTATTGGTCTCTAAAAAACCTCTGAATATTCAGCAGAAACCCTGAATTGGTAAAGAGATTAAGGCTCTTCTCAGTAAGGGGACGTCTGGGTTGAATGAAGTTTACATTATTTAATAAATCTGAACACTAGTTTTCATTGGACTAAAAATGGAAATCCTATTGAGGTATGTGGCCATGACATGACACAGTGTGAAAAGTTGAGTTTATTACTAATTTACTTTATTTATATTCCTACGAGTTATGCAGGATTTTATTAAATCAAGTGTTTTTCAAAATCAAAAAACATCCCATTGAATCTATGCATTACAAGCATTATCCTCCTCATCTGATGATGTCCAAAGATTGAAAATAAATATGAAACAATCAAAAAGAGTTAAAAAAAGAAAGGGAAATCACAATTTATAAAATGCATAGAAAACTAAAACAGCCCTCTAAAAAATTTTTAAGACTTTTATATTAGTGAAATAAATTAAATGTATCAAAGATTCTGACCCACCTTTCAATGCAAAATAATCTAAGTGATCTTTTCTTTATTGCAAAATGAAACAAAAAAAAAATCAAATCTTGTAATATTAATGTTTTTATGTTTTCAATTGATTTTAGTATTTTTTATACCCTAGATGCCACATCAGAGTCTAAGCGAGGCTTTTGTCGAAACATGGTGAAGCTTTGAAAACATAAAAGAGACATTTTATGTTGCCTTCAGAGTTAAATGCAAACAATCCCAGAGAAAACCACAGAGGTGGCCTTTTTCACTTCACACACTGTCACCACTTCCTCTTCCAGAACTTACATAACATGTTTGAAAATGTTGAAACTAATAAAAATAATATAATCTGCCAGCTAAAGTTAAATTTCAAACACTTGCCTCATATTATCCTTGCAGCTCTCTCTTACTCCTGTTAATATTTCTGACCAACTTAATAAAACAAAAAAATAATAATAATTGTAGCTGGTTTTCTTACCCCAAATTATCTCCAGAGAGTTCCAGCAGTTCGATCTCATCTGGACCAACTTCATCCACTCCTGTATGCCTCTGAGTCACGCTGCAGCATCCCATGACCAGCCAGGTCTTCACCTTCTCACTCCCGTCTCAGCAACTGAGGACCATCTGCCGACGCGACCATCCACAGGGTTTGTGTGTGAGGCACAAATAAAACCAAGAAGATAACAGGAAAATTTTTGGGGGGGTTGTTTGGGTTTAGAAGAGGATATTGTTCAGTAGTGAGGAGGAGGGGGAGGCAGGAGGAGGCTTAGTATAGTTCCCCCTTTCTGGCAGCATGCAGAGCAAATTTCCGTAGAGTCCAAAGAACAAAAGGTGTTACGGCTCTTAAAGAGACGCTGAAGATAAAAGTGGCAAGCTTTTGGCAAGTCACAGCTCAGAAGCTGTTCCTTCCTGTCAAGTGGCAGCAGAGGACTGAACCGCTTCCTCACTCTGCTTATTTTTCTCTCTGTACACATGCTGATGATCTGCCAACACGTCATTGTGGCAAATACAAACTGTTTGTGATGTTGCTTCTTAGACAACCCTGATCAGGTGGAGGAGGGAAAAGCTGCTTCTCCTCCTAATGTTGACAACACAAGTTCATTGATGCCCTTTGAGTTCTTGCTGAAAGCAGGTGGATGATGAAGAAAACTTCCTGTTGGGAAAGATCCAGTCATGTTTATCAGCTTCCAGCCCTGAGTGCGGCTTGCCAGGCTTAGATAATTGCGAGTTGTGACATGGCAAGGTAAAGAGCTGCAGTCAAAACAAGCTGAAACAGCTGTGGAGCGCAGGCTGGTGGGGATCTTCCTGGTTAGAGGACGATAAGAGGGGTTGCACACAGTCCCAGGGGTTGTGAAGGGATGCAAATACTGTTGCAATCTTAACTGCAATTTAGGTCACCTGGCGTGATCTATGAACTAGAAGCTGCTTACAAAAAAAACAAAACAAAGAAAAATGATCTGCATACCTCCAGCCAGAAGTGGAGACATTTGTGCACCATCCAAATTAGTCAGCTTCTGCTTTATGGAAGCATATCTAGTACTCAGTAGAGCAGCTTTGTGCACAAATTAACAGCGTTTGTAATGAATCATGGCCCAGTCCTCCAACAACCAGCACATTTAAGCTACTTATGCCTGCTTTTTCTTAGTTTTAAGACATTTAGCAACATTTACGTCAGCCCACACTAAGTGCCATCCCGGGTCCAGTTTAATTTTAACTTGGGAACCTCCTCCTGTTTAAAGGTCAGATGATGCTCATATTTCAGCTTCCTCTTTGGTAATTCTAACCCCACCTCCAATATTTATTGTCTTAAACTGAATCCAGCTTAACTTTTATAATGTTGCAGGTTTCCTTTACAAGGGGAAAAAAAACAACCCCTCAGCATCACTGAGCCATCGCTATGCTTCAGTGCAACAAACCCTGCTAAGCCTTGGTTTTCATTCACAGAATCCCACCAAATATTTTGTATTATTTAAAAAAAATATATATTTTTTAGTTCTTTGCTCATTGTTAGTGTCCACCCTCCAGTTTTGGCATTAAGTGCCGGTTTGTGCAGGTTTGTCTTGCCATGCTCGGGTTTACCTTCAAACTATATTTCCAGCAGTAGCGCTTAAAACATTTCTGTTTTTGTGACCTTTTGTCCTTTTTAAGCAAGACAAGAATCTTTTTTTTTCTGAACTGTTTTTCTGTTGACTCATCCTTATTTCTAATATCTAATGACATGTGACCGCTGTCTCACTGGTGAATGTATAAAAAGCCTTTCAAGGGCTTATATGATGTTTAAACTGCAACTTGTAAGAAAAGAAACTAGATTTAATAGTTTTATTTAACTATCAAAATTTTTCATACACGTTTTACTGTCCAAAAAAATACAAAGAGTAGGAAACGCTGCAGAAAACAAGGGGTTTTATTCTCACAAATCTTTTCCACCTGCTCTCCTCAGACAATGATCACATTTGTTTCCATGTATCACTGTTCCTCTTTCCCTTGCATGCTACTCTGACCGCGTCCTGTTTGAGTTTTCATCAAGAGACCTGCAGTCAGGACAGAAGCGTGGCAATCCTTCTCTTCTGCTCAGACTTTGGCTGCTTCTGATTGTTTGTGGCCTTTAAATGATCCCCCATTGAAATGTAGCCGCTCAGTCTGACTTTATCTTGCGGTTGCATGGTTCTACCCCTGAGAAACTTTGAGCATTTAGGTGGAGATGTTGGGTTTTAAAGAGAGGATGTGACTTTGGGCAAAGGATTGTCTGCCCCCTTCTTCCCCTCTACCTTTGACTCTCTTTTAGGCTGTGTTGTGTGGTTTCTTTTAATTTTCTTTTTGTCTAACTTGATGCCGTTGCTTGTTTTGCTGCAGGCATGATCTGAGGCACCACTATACAGCATTACGAAGTCCTTCTGACTGGCTAAGGGAAGGATTTTCTTTCTCAGACGACACTTGCTGAACAACTCCAGAGTTAAATCTAGGCAGAAAAAGCCAGAGAACAAATGTTTAGATTAGTTTAAAAAAAATAAGACAAGATAAGTAAAAAGAAAAAAACTGTGAACAGTGGGAATTTTTCAAATAAAACTGCTGCATCAGTTTGTGAAGTAGAAACCTTTTAAGATGTTTGGTGCTTCAAGGATCTGTTTGAAAAGAGACACATCGTCTAAGCGAACACCAACCAATCCTTTAAATAAACTGGGACCATTTTATAAATTGAAATGATTTTTAACATTTATCACTTTGAACTATGGGTGTCAAACAAATTTTTATATGGGGCCCCTTAAGCATCATCAGATCTTTAAAAGGTTGTTTGCTGCTGTATAAATTAGACTTTTGATTTACATTTTCAAACAGCAAACTGCTCTGAAATAAGTTTATCTATATTCACCTTGCAGTTTTAGCAACTGGTCGTACTTTGAAACGATATATGCCTTTACTTTTTATGAGAGGCCTTTTTTGGCTCCTAACAGCCCAAATACCCATAATGGGCTGGATTTGGCCTTCGGTTTGACCAAGCTTTAATCTATGTATTTACTTGACCGCAAAGGGACTTTCTTTAAACGCTGAACCTCAACTTCTGATGGAAACAGTGGACATGTTCCCCATGTAGATGATTTTTTTCACATGATCCCTGTTAACTATATGATTGTTTGATTTATTGTTGCATTGTTCATCTTCGAGGCATTGGATAGACATCTTCCTTGTATCTTCCTGTACACCTGCAGACATATGCACCCTCTAAATCCCATATATCCATTGATTATCCTCTTTTATTTGCGTTAAAGTCCAGACTGGTCAGCTGGATCAGATCTTAAGAGTCAAAGCCACTAAACTATTTTACACTGGACTTTTTTCTAAACATCATAAGATTAAAAATATTCTTGAAGTTGAACTTTATTTTCTCTAGTGTCTCTCACACTTTTATGCTATTTATCTGTTTGATGTGAAGCATTAGTTTCACCTATTTTTGCAATATAAAGAAATTTGAACTTGAAATCAAATGTTCTTAAAATGATTCTAGCCACCGATTTTGAGGCCAGACTACAGCCATGTTTACTTGAATATTTTATGATAGATTTTCATTTACATTAAGCTAACTAAATTTACCTGATTACTATTTAAAACACCCCAACATACATATTATGTCCTTTCTGCTCTTCATTTTTTTCAGGGATCACCACAGCAAGTTATTCACAAGGTGCACAAATGGAGATTTAAATTTTATATACATCTTAAATGAAAACATGTGATGATTAACTAATGAATAATAAAGAAAAGGTAAAGATAAAAGTTAAAATAATGAAACAACTTGTAGGTTGATGATTATTAAAATCCTGCCTAGGAACAGAAATATATTTAGTGAAGAAAACAACCTAATTACTAACTTCGGTTTAACCTTAAAATAGTGGATGCAAAAGAAAAAATATCTTCCACAAAGTCCTGTCAATCATAAAGTGCGTTTAACTTAAAAAACCTGCAGACAAATCATTTCTGTATTATTACATCGTAAAAAAAAAAAATTACAGGTTCAAGGATTTAGCGAAACAGCAATTCCTGTCAAAAAAAAAAATGTATCTTATATTATTGAGTGAAAACAATCTTCACCTGAAACGGGCTTGTTTATGGTTGCCATCTCTCTTGAATATAATCTGGCTGGTGGGCGGGGCAGGGTTCTAGTAATGGTTTATTTCTCTTTTTAGTAAAGACAGGAAAGCAAATTTGTGCAAATAAACTATAAAATTGCTCATTAGCTATAGACAATTGACTGGAAAACATTGCAGCATTTAAAGTAATAAGGCAAACAATGAATAACTTATAATAAATGTTCCTATACAGACGAGTTATTGCACTGTTATACTCAATTGAATTATTAATGCTAAAGATAAATTAAATAATTAAAAATGATTTATTATTTATTAATAACATTTTAAATACGTCTATTTTATAATCTACCATAAAGCAATAGCACCTAAAGTTTGTTAGTTTGTGTGAAGTTTGTAATTAAAGCTATTATATACTATACAAAACTCATCTGCCTACATTGATAACCACCCATTCATTGTTGTCTGAATACTTTGAATAAAAAATAAAAAATGCGCACAGAAGATGCAAAAAAAGAAATGTATTACAACTAGGATATGCTATATGTTATAACTACATTTTCCTACTTGGTTTATTTTCTGATTCCTAGTTAGCATGATTCACTCTTTAAATTAACATTTAGTAGGTTTTACCGGTTACTGTGTTTTGTTACTTATTTTTAGATTTAGCGTTGATGTGTCTGTGACATACAGCAGTTTTTAAATCGCGCGACAAATCGTGGCGTTCCCTATTGGTTTAATACGGGACACAATGTTTAGCTGCCAATTCCGTATTTTAAGGGACAGACTGCAACCCTTTGCTTACTGAATGTTTAGGGAATCAAATGAGCATCCTGCTCTGCAATTCATTACCAGCTTTTTTCTCAAGGTTTTGTTAAAAAGATAACCACGTCAGTTGTTAAAACTTGTATTTATATTAAATCCAGGCAAATTCAATTGTAAAATGGCTCAAGTCACATAAAAAAAAATAAAAAATACACCAGATTGTGTTGATTTTTTTAACCTGTTTCTTTTGTGTCAAAGAAGTTCAATTAATCTAAGCACTGTATTAGTTTTTGTTCTACAAGACCTTAAAAATTCTTCGGGCAACACTGCATAACTTTTAGTTAGTAGGGGAACTAGACCTGTAACTTCCTGAAAGCAACTGGAAGAAGTGCAGAGTTACAAACTGAAACGGTCTCTCTTTGTGTTTTGGAGTCTGATGTACATTATTTTGGATGAGCAAGTAGGGAAGTCATAGAGTTAGTTGTAAAAACATGGAAACATTTACTATTCAAGATTAAATCCTTCATTGGAGAACCAAAACATGTCTCATTAGGTATCTGTTTTACCATCTAACAAGAACTCTTAGCTTAAATAGAGGTGTTTAAGGGGAGCTCAGACTGCTATAATGCTGCTCCCTTGGTCACATGACTCATTCAGTGCAAATCCAACCATCACAGGTTACATACAGTAGGACAGTTTTTGAGAGGAGGAGCCCACATGGAGCATTGATGCAGGTGCAGCCTATTAGCACATATCAAAAAACGTAAATAATCTGATTAAAAAGTTATGCAGTTTTGCTTTAAATTCAGCTTGTAGAAATGCTCTTTTAATCTGAACCATAAATAAAATAATACTCAAGTCAAGTGCTTGTGTTAAAAGATTGCACCTAAATACAGGAGGAAAAAGCAGCAGCAGATTAAACAACATTTGGGAGGTTTTTACACTTGAGTCATTCAATTAACAACAGTACATTTGAACTTTATAGTAAGATGCAAAGTTGTGCTTATACTCTGCAAATGCGTCAAATGCTGGTGACTTGCCAACTGACCCAGCGTCTCTGAAACTGTGCGAGGTATCACCTCCTTCAGCACCTCACAGTCTGCATTAAGTGCTGGATTGCAGGTCATCTCTAGCAGCCACACCTAGAAGAGGCACATCACGATTTTATTTAATGAGCATATTGGGATCCAGCTCCAGCTAAGATGTGTAAACATCCACCTTAAAGGACTCGTCGACTAGGAAGTCGCAGCCGATCAGGTCAAAAAATCCAGGGCGGCAGTCTAACTTGTCTTTGACAGCAAAGAAACACTGTGTCATGATCTGCTGCATGCGCCTCTAAAGTGTGAAAAAAATAAATACATCTGTCAGTGAATATGTGGAGAGAACAGTGAGAACAGTTCAGAGTCATAATCACCTATATGGCTCAAGAAACAAGACATTTGTCTCTTGTTTAACAGAATCACATCATAAAAACATTAATGTATAATCTTTAAGGGAAACTATATTTACATAGCTATATGTGTATTTGCACCCAATATTATTTTGTTTTCTTTTTTTTAATGCAGGATTTAACAGAGATAGTAAGTTATTTTTTTAAACATGAATTTGCTGACACCTATTCATCTTTGAAAAGAGACGCTTTTTGCAGAGCTGGTTTGAGCCAGCAGGCTCCAAAGCGCAGCAACTAACATGTAAAGCAAAAACATGACTGATGTAAAATGCACAACAAAGAGTTGAAAAAAAGTCCCAAATGAACAGAAACCACAACAAAAGAAAACTGTTCCATGCACAGAAAATAGAGCAAAGCAGAAACCTTCAAAATACATGCAAAGGAGAACTGATACAAATAAAGAAGAATTAACAGGAACTTTAAAAAAAAAAGTTGAGAATTCACTCTGTAGAATTGTACAACAGACCACTAGAGGGAGACATCTGCAATGTCACATGGAGGCGTAGCATATTTATCAATAGTCTGCTGTTCTATAAAACTTAAAAGATAAAACCATATATTTTAAAAATACTATGAGGGAAATAATATATTTTTCTTCTTCCCTGAAACTTTGTTTTATCTTTCCTGAGGGTCTCATCCATATGACTTTGGGGATGACCCCCCTTGTGGTCAGGCTTACTTCCTTTTTGCAGTGTGAATTTGCTGCTTTCTCTGATTCAGCTTTTCTGTGATTGCATGTTTTTTTACTTTGCAAACATTAGTTGGTTTAGTGTTTCGGTGACAGCACCATTCTTCTTTAGCAGCGTTTTACTGCTTCATTTGTTGTTTGTTTCCTAGTTTGCATCATACATGTGTTTGCACCGCATTTGGCCCCTTTTTCTACCTTTTCTCCACTGGGAAAACGGCTCTCTAGCATCTGTATGAGGGTTTTATTTCCTGAGTCGCCACTGGAGGTAAAGCCTCAGCAGCTTACTTCTTAGCAGTGTTTGTGTGGCACTGTTTTGGCCTCAGGGGAAGAGCTTTTCCAATTATGTCTTTTATGGAAGGGTTTGGTTCAAGTGCTGCTACTCAACTACTAGTAAAGGTATTATTTTTATCATCATCATTATCTTTCTTATTTCAAAACCAATAAGTGATCCAGTAATGTCCCCATAAGACATGTGTGTTGCAGAAGTTTTTTGTAAATTTTGTTCCATTGCATTAATCAGACCATGCTCTGCAGCAGGGACACGTCCTTCTAACTCCTGGTGAGACAAGAGAAAACAAATAGCCTGTTTCTACTGCATTATATTAAACCCAACACTAGTGTTGCAGCAAAAGTGAGTTGTGGTTAATTTCTCAAAATATAAATTACCACTTAATTTTAAATTAAACTTTATCTATTACTTGCAGTTTACACAGCTAACAAAGATAATATTGAAAAATATGACCTATGATTGTGTCGAACTGTTCAGTCTTTTAATTTACAGTGTTTTGTTCTCCTTTCCAATGTCAGTGCAATCTGTCACTGATGTAACTCCATGTTTTCAGCCTGACTGGGTTAAGTGACTGAGGTTTTCTTCTCATTTTGGATAATGGGTGTAAAGATCTCATATTCTACCTCTCTATCAAATCAGCTTTTTTTTTTAACCTCTCTCTTTAAAGGTGCAGTGTCTGATAATTTACAGGAATTTACTGACAAAAATGTAGTATATTATCTATATGTATGTTATTTGTTATCACCTATCAGCTGAAATGCTTTCTTTGCCTTGGAAATTGCTATTTATAATTACATAGCAGCAGGTTTGCATTTACGGCGGCAGACATCTTTTGTGCTACGACAGCATAGAACTGAGAAGCTATTGACTGTAGAGATCATTGTTCAGTGTTCATGTCGCTGCAATCTGCCGTCTGACAATTAAATGTTGCTGACAATTTTTAGTTATAAATAACCTGTACACAATTTCTGGACTAGAGTGGATTTAGCTGGACAAACCACTGGACTTTGTTTCCAAGTTTGAAGACGTCTCGCTTCCCATCCAAGGAGTTTTTTCAATTAAAAAATTTATTTTTTGAACTGAAAAAGCTTCCAGGATGGAAAACGAAACGTCTTCAAACTTGGAAACAAAGTCCAAAGGATTGTTTTTAATTTTCTTTTTTTGGAATGACTATGACCTGGATGACTGAGAATCTTCACCAGCATTTAACTGGACGTGTCTCTGGACTTGACTCTTTTAGAACAGCTGTGTTTCAAATACTCTATTTATCAGAATAAAATCTAAAATCTGACTGGCATCTTGATTAATGCAGAGATAACACAGCAGGCGTTTAGAAAAACAAATCTATTGTGGTTAACTTTTCAGACCATAAAATATGTTGTAATCAGGTTATAGAGCTCTTTTTATAAGCTGTAGCTAAAAAAAAACATTGCAATGCATGACAGTACAAAGAAAAACAACTTGTAATATTTCCTTTTTAGCCGTAACATGATGACTATTATAAGAGCAATGAGCTCATGTAAAGTTAACCACATTCTCAATTAGCTACCAGTGCCAACCACCCCGTCTGTATTGGTAATTGGTCCCTCAGAGCTACAGCACGCCGCAGCTCTCACCGCAAAGGCTCCCAGCACCCAGTCCCTGGGCAGACCCTTGGCAACCTGAAACCGGAGATTGACATAGGTGTTGAAGCTCTCCATAGACCAGACAGTGTCCTCCTTCAGCTCGCTGTAGTGAGGGTGTTTCTTCTGAACATACTGGAAACAGACAGCAGGGGGACCAGTGACACATGGAACAGGAAGTAAAGGCAACAGTTAGTGCAGGTTGCAACTCTTTGAATGTTGAGTAATGTGCATCTCTCATTTAAGCTGATTTCACATTTGAAATATAGAAATTACATCTATGACCACATGAGCAATATCAGCTGTGATTTATGTGTAAAGCATGCGATCATTGTATGCTTTGTTTCTTCATGTTCCATTGCACACAAAAAAAATAGTAAAGTTTTTTTTAAGCTTTCTCTGTTTTCAGGATTTTAAGTGAAAATTCAAGTCATTCAAGTGGTAATGATATAAAAAAACGGGTCTGTATTAATCCATCTGCAGGAGGCTAAAAGGTCAGAGCAGAAAAATCCATCTCATATGTTTGGCTTTTTTTCAAAAGGGACCAATTCCTGTTTAGATTAACTATGTTAATTAGAAGTGTCTAGAAATGGCTGATAGTTCAGAGGTGGGGGAGTTACCTGGTTGGTGAGGTGAGTAGAGAGATTATTGGACATTGGATCGTAGACGTCACACGTCAGCCGGACATAACCGTGACGAAAGAAGACCATATAAGGGGCAGTGCAGGCGATGAGAAGGTAAGATCGCACATCAAACTTCCTGCCGTCTAGCAGAAGCGGCTTCTGAATATAACTGGGTAAAAAAAATATGATGAAACAATGGATGCATCAGTTTAAAGGCGTAATGTAACTGTGGGGGGAAAAAAGTAGTGTTTACAGCAGGGTTTCCGCGGGTCATTAAAAATCATTTAAAGTTATTATATTATTATTTTTTAAATTAAGGCCTTAATTGGCATTTAAATCCATTCAATTTGATTATTGTGGCATTGAAAATGCTTTATGAAAAAAATAATTTATAGAAACAATTTCATCAAATATATTACATCGCCATATATATTTGCGCAGAACTGCTTCCGGTTGATCGTAAAGCCGTATGTTCGGAAAAGAAGCTTGAGGCGGAGAAAAAGCTAGAGAATGGGAAAATGCAAATTTCAACAACAGTGGCTAGAAAACGAAGAATTCAGGACATGGCGGCAGCCTGTCGATGGTAAAGATGATTATATTATATATGATCATATATGATTCATGGGTACTTGTTCATGGCATAAAAATGATTTCTCATAGAATTAAAAGAGCATTAAAAAGCACTAGTCATGATTGACTAGTTTTTGTGTGATCAAACAACCAGGTATTCACCCACTGTTGGGCAATGTAGTTCCTTCCATGGGCCAGCTTCAGTCTGAATTCATCAACATCCTGCGTGTTCTTCAGAAGGAAGATCCCTCTCCCCTGGCTCCCATTGGTGGGCTTACAGATCCACATACAGCTCTCCACCGCTGCCACCAGAAAAAGAGACATATCACTTAGATTTTAGCCTGCTATAACAAATTATTCTTCTGTAACAGCAGGAGATATATCTAGTTTTGGTAAATATCTTACAAAATCACTTCAATGGACAAAACTGAAGTATGATACTTTTATATAATATAAGGAAGTTATTTTCCCTCAAAATAAGCAAACACACACAAGTGAATGTCTAAATTCACTGGTGACAAAAAGTGAGTACACTCCTAGGGGAAAATGTCAGTTCACAAACAATTCAGGTAAACTTTTTTCTTTGGTCATTATGTGGTAAGATTTGTTTCATTTTAAAAGGAAAACATTCTAAATTTATGTTGGAACACAAAATCCTGAAAAGTGAAGCTGTCTGGGTTTCCTGTCTTACAGAAAACTTGATAAGGACTGATTTCAAATGTGATCTCATTTACTCCAGATTGAGTAGCGCTACAATTACTGGAGTTTCTATTGTTACTTAAGAAAAAAAAAGAAATTCCTCAAAAATACTTTAAAAGAAGTTAAAAGAAATAACATTTTTCTGTTGCATTTGTTGTTTGTGTGTTTTGGAGTTTGCATCATATATGTGTTTGCAGTGTAGTGCAATAGCTCACTTCAGCTCATAACATCTGATCTAATATTTTAAAATTATGTAATCAGACATTTATGTGCAAATTATGGCATTTAATCGATAAAGTTCCAAAAAAATTAAAGAAGAAACACTTTTAACTAACTGAATATTTTTTCAAAGTAAAATGATAAAAACCAACCTTAACAGTATGTAATCCATATATGTGAGAAAAGGATAGAGAGCATCAAGCAACAATGTTTACCATTTACTGTAAGTTACTCCAAATTTTACTCAAGTAAGTGTAAATAACATTCAAGTAAAACTACGTCTAAAAGATTTTTTTTTTAAGTTACTGAAGTAAAAGTAACATTTTACTTCCCAACTCTTGTAGAGAGAATACTTTCTTACCACCTGAAATGATTCCTGAATTTGAACACAAGGCAAACAGTGGATAATTAACGAGTGACGCATTGTCAGGTGTTTCCTTCTTAAATAAATGTCTTTTCAGTTAATCTACTTAGTTTCTTTATTCCTAATCTTTACCCCTATATAAACAGCACAATGGGACGGCCAGAGAGTGAAGGAAAAAATGTGGGATAACATCAAAGGAAGAAATTAAGGGGGTTTAGACTATTTTTTTATACATTGTTAAAGTGTAAAAACTAAACACACAGAGAAGGGATGTCACTGACAAATGTTGACTCACTTCTTTTTTTAATTTACCCAAAACATCACAGCGTTTCATGAAAAAAAAGCGGTACCATAACCTGCAAAGCATTTTGTAATCCCCTGTATAGAAATAAGTGACTCATGCAGAGACTTCAGTGCAGACTGTTTCACATCTCTATTATTTCTAGTGTGGTTTGGTTCTCTTTTGGCTTTTTTTTTCCTTCTCTTGTCTGTCCCATGAATCCATCCGTCACCCAGAGATTAAACCGGCTGTTTAAGTCTTTCTCCTGTTTGCTTAGTGATAACTTTGTTTGACAAACCCGTACACCTCTTACCACAATGTGTTTGTTGTGAACCAATCAATCTAGATTTCAACTGTGACTTTCATCTCCAGGTCCTAACACGACATTAAAGGCGTTTGAAAGTCCTGAAATAACTTTGTTACTTGTGGCTTTGTTTGGTGCAGCAGCCGGTGCTGCGTTCAGGTTCTTCTTGTTTGTGTCTCAGCCCTGCCCTCTGCTGACTCATCTCCATGGCAGCAGCATGGTTCCCTGTTGATTTTATCACGGCCTCATGGGAAGTGAAGTGCATTATTTTTCCAACGTTCTCCAGCTCTTTATCAAACACACACCTAGGCGACTGTTGTCCTGACACCGTCAAGAACAAACTCCTTGTCTGATTCATAAGTAGTCAGATGTGATTAATCTTTTTGACGTGAAGCTGGCAGCTCCACTTTGAAAGGTGAGATAGGGGGTTTATTGCAGGAATAGAAGGATAGGTTGAGGTAGAAAGAAATGGTTTTACCTGTTTTACCCTCCTGTTGGGTGAAGTGGGAAAAGAAAAGTTCCCTTTCCTTCTTCATATCCATGCGGTACGTTGAAGGAATGAACTCCTCCATTTTCAGCCACCTGTGAGGGACGGTTTAGAAAAAAATGAAGCAAGATCATCTACATTTAGAAAGTGTAGCATGCAGTCATATTCACAACACCTACTTATAGCTAAATTTGTGTATTATGATCTCAGTATAAATACAGCTGCTATCTGAAAGGTAGTTTTCTTTTTAGAGAACATTCAATAAACAGCATAGCGGACACCAAGGAACAAAAACAGATCAGAGAGAAAGTTTTGGAGATGTTTAAATCAGGATTGGGCTATAAAACAAAGGTAGATCTGACAACAAAACTTCTGTCTAATCAATGTAGTGGCATACGGTACAATAAAAAGAATATGCTGAATACCAAATAAGAATTTTATTATTTTTTTTTTTTAAAGACACAACGCTCATGCAGGTAGGTGCTCAGGTATAATGAAAGACCGCCATAACTAAACTCCATGGTCTGGAAATTAGCTCTGTATCTCAATCTGTACACACCATTGCAGCCTGGAACACAGTGGTGGCAGAATTATGTTATGTAAGCCTGAGACGGTGGTTCACTGTAGGATACCAGCTATAAACATACAGCCAGAGCAAGAATGGCTGTAGATTAAAACATTAATGTGTTATAAATGGTCCAGCATACAGCGTTAAATTGAATTAAGGTTGTATGGCAATGCTAGAAAATTTATTTTTATTGCAACCTGTGGCTCCAGAGCAACATGTTGCTATTTGGACCCTCTCCAGAAGCTCTTAATGGTGGCTAAATGTATTTAAATAGTTAAATAATTTATTATAATGAGTATTAAAAGCTTTAGTGTTTTTTACAAGATGGAAGAGCTTAATATAAAATAAGCAGAAATATGTCTTGAGAGCCATTTTTCTTTTAATTAGCTTTGAAATTACAGGTTTCAGAATTATCTTTACAGCTAAAAATACATAAATTGTGGATTGTTTAAGATGACAACTAATTTCCTATAAAAAAGTTGTTTCTTTGAAAAAGTCATATTTTGCTAAATAACTTTTGTCGGACTCTGAGCAAAACTGCTCTTTGGATATGAAAGGTTGCAGATCCCTGTCATGGACAATCTATGTCCAGTCTGACTGAGATATCTTACAGAGAAGAAAATGAAAATGTTTCTGTCTGTGCAAAATTGGTAGAAACAAATATATCCAACAGGAAGTTGTCCAAAGCATTAAATTAGATTGTTGATTAGATGAAGGCCACACTGCTTCGATTTCTATCAGTTAACTATTTTAAAAGTCATGAACCATTTTCCTTTTACTACCCATATACTGTATTTACAATTCTGTGTGGATTTATCATATAAAATCCCAATAAAATCAGTGTAGGTTGCACTTGTAACAGGTCAGAATGAATACATGTTAAAGATGAAGAAAGACAAACCAGTAAATGTTCAAAACTTCCATGTCTTTATTATGAGCTTAAAGTCATAGGGAAATCATATTTAAATATAAAATCATTCTGGCTTAAGCGTGTATATAAATGTACGCTTTATCGGACGATATTATCACAAAATTTAGAAAAAAATCCTTTCTTAAAATTTGTGGGGTTATTTTCATTGTAGGCCAGTTAGTTATACGTTAGCTTGTACACCTAAATTCGGCCAATCATATATCAACGGTCATCTGTCAATCAATTTTTTTCGGTCATAGGATCTTGATTCATATGTCGCAGCTAATATACGCAACGGTTGAAGTAAGAAATAAGAATAATTTCCTTTACAATTGAGTTCCGTCCCAGTGTTCACGGAGATGGACGTCTGTGTCTTCAGCAGGCGTAGAGCTAACAGAACTGACAGCGTTGCGAGGCAAGGGCTCAAACATGTACGGCTGGAAGCCTTCTACACCAAACCAAGCTTCTGCCGCCCTGGCGTCCTCTTCCACAACATCTTCGTCCCCGCTTTCCTGCTCTTGATAAAAAATGTATGATGGAGGAGACTCATCCACGACCTCCGACACAAAACTTTCCTCCTCTTGCATGTTTCTGCTGTCCATAGCATTCCTTGAGTGTCGTTTCTAAGTCACCAATTTAGTGCTACTTGGTCCCAATGGAATTTACCATTGAGAACCTACTAGTATTAAGTTTCTAACTGGTTAGCAAGATGCTTCAGACAAACCGCATTCACTTTATTCACTCGTGTTTAGTCGGGCACCACTCAGGAGAATTCGGAAATGCAACGGTTGGAACAGCCATTTCCCTACGACCTTAAGCCCAACTTGGCATAGATTCTGTATTAATGTCTCCGTTACATCATCCAGTTTAATTTGTATTTGTATTTTCCTCTGTTATTTTCTGCTGACAATTAGAACATTGGATCTCCTGGAAATTTTTATTTCATAATTATTGAAGAATTGACATGTGAAAGACTTATTTAATGTCAGAAGTGGGCTGTGTTAGATAATTCAAGGATGAAATCTTCCAAAGGGGTCAAATAGATAATCCTTTTATCCAAAAAGGTTGAAAAAGTAAAAAAAAAAAAAAAAAACACTGGACTTTGTTTTCCAANTATTCAGTTTTAAGGCCGATACAGGCCGATACCGATAGGGGGCCGATTATATCGTGCAGCCCTAAATCAACCCTATCGCTGCGTTAAGGTTTTTGAGAGCTGGAACCTGAGACTTCTGTTAATCCAACTAATGAATTAAATGGTCAGCACAACCAACAAACCGGCTTCCTTCAGACTACCTTTGACACTCATTTAAATGAAGGTTTATGACAGAGTAATAAAAGGGGGAAACAAGCTATTTGTTTTACCTGTGTCCATGTTGGACTTTGCGGCCCACTTGCTCAAACTCTCGCAGGCTTCTAAGGAGCCCGATTTTAGTGGTGAGAACCATGTTGTTGGGAATCTGGTACATCAGATGTCTACCTGGAAAACATTTCAACAAGGTTTTTATGGCTGTTTAAATTCAGAGTTCTTCTAATATAATTTAGCTCTACTGTACCTTCTCTAAAGCTTCTGTATTTAGCTGGAGATTTGGTCACACACCACTTGAGTTTGAAATCTTCTCTGTGTTCACTATAAATCCTCATCCACCCTCTGCTGTCAAAGTAGCTGCTCACTCTGCAGAGAAAATCAGCCACATGTGTCCAAGCAAACCAAAACCAGGTAAGAGTGGTGAAGGAGCACACACATCTCATTTTTAGCATTAAGATCATTATTGAAATAGTAAATCTGACTCTCTGATGGCCCTTAATGTTGAATTGGATAATATTTTGTATTTTGCATGTTTAGCTCACATGTCAGCCCCATTGGTTCCTTCAAAAAAGTAGAACGGTCCATTTCGACAAGGCTTTTTTGTCATCTTTTTGTACTTGTAAGAAGAGGGCTGCCAGCTCTTAGGTTTGGAGATTTCCACTTTCTTCTCCACTTTGTGCCCACCTGATGCTTCAACAAATATAGAGAACCGAATTATAATGTAAACAAACACTGCCTTTCAAATGTATGAATGCCTATCAAACATTTTTTAATGCTGTCATATCAAAACACTTTTTTCTATGAAAGTATTCTAACTGATTTATTTATTTATTTTTTTAAAGCCCATGGTATTACTAAAGGAGCAACAGATATTTAAACTCAGATTAAAGAAACTATTTAGCCATACTGCGCCAAAACAAAATCTAAATAAGTAATTTTTTCTTAAAATAAATTATTTTTTTCTTGAATTTAGGAGGTAATTGAGAGACTTTGCCATTGGAACAAGATAATTTATATTTGAAATTAGAAATTTTTTTTTGCATTGTCTTATTTCAAGTGCATATTATCTAATTATCTTATTTTAAGAGTAAAAATACTAATTCGATTGGCAAATGATCTTATTTACCTGACCAAATCAAGGTAATTGCACTTATTTTAAGAAATACTTACTCTGTAAATTAGGCAAATACAGCTTTTTAGGGGGCAGTCGTTAGGAGAAAGCAACTGCTAAGTTGGTCATAGATAGAACAATCCTGAAAAAAAAACTATGTGAAGCTGAAAAGGATGTGAGACTGAGGTGAAGGTCGACCTTTGTGAAACGCAATATTAAACATAGAATAGAATAGAATAGAATAGAATAGAATAGAATAGAATAGAATAGAATAGAATGGAAAAACCTTTTGTTGTCCCTCAATGGGGGAATTCTGGTGTTAAGAGCAGCAAAAAGATTATAGAAAAAAGGTCAGAAATATGGACCTTAGAAAAATGTATAAGAATAACATAATAGTGAAGAGTTAAAAGATCCAAAAAACAAAAATAATAAAAAAAAAGTAGGAAAAACTCAGGAAAATAAAGGGAGCTTCTGAAACAGGCTGCCTGCTCCTCGATGGCGCCTAATAACATGCAGCTAGAGCTACAGCGTGAGCTGGAATTCAATATTTATTAATTTGGAACACTGAAGTATTAGATTTAGACTTAGACAGATATATTTTGTCATTTTGTATATACGAGTATATACAAACATCAAACCTAAATCCAATTCAGAAACTACAAGTAGACAAGGCTCATATTCACACATCCACTCTATCCATTTGTTTGTTGATTATGTATATATATATATATGTATATAAACATATAATCAACAAACAATTCATAAATTGTATGGCTGTAAAATATAAGTAGTTATATAATTCGTCTGTATATGTGCATTTCAAGTAATTGTAAAATTATAAAAGTATAAGAAGATTTTTCTTCTTGAAGCAGTAAATCATCCTATTTCATAAAGTTATGGATTAATAAACATTTAATGTGTTTACAGATGATTTCAAACAACTTGCTAAACAGCTTTATCTGCCCTCCACAGCCCTGCCCCCCAAACAGACACACACCTTCCCGCCCATCTTGCTTCTCCTCGCTGGTAGATGAGAGCGAGCACTTCCTGCTCTCCTCCTGAATCTCTGCGCCCTCCCTCGAAACATCATCTGCTCCACCTTCTGATATCATTTCCTGTATGTCGGTACAGTCAGGTGACATGGACTGTTCTGTTTTTGGCTCCTCCTTCTCTGCATAGGGAATCTGTTTATTTTGTTTTACCTTCTCTTGCTGTGCCTTTATTTCATCCTCCTGCTGCGGCAGATCACTGGACCACTTTATAAAGCTTCGTCTTGTGCAGATGGACATGTTTTGATCTGGAAGTATATCGTCATAGAAGTGTAAATCATTGTAGGTTATCATATAATTTTTCAACATTCTAAACTAATACACACAGTGCATTACAATCCAGACCTAAAACATTAAACCACATCATTTACTTGGATTTTATGTAATAAAAACAACTAAAAGAACTTGGTCATTGTAAAGTGGAAGTACATTGTTTCCTGTTTTTATTGTGCTTTTTATATTTTTTACACTGACTGACATTTTTGTGTTTGTAAAATAGGTCAAGCTCAGGATGAATATATAATCTCTTTTTAAAAAAAGCTAAATGGAGACACATTAATGTCATGTTTGCTCTTTTAATTTCTCTGCAGCCAAGTTCAATCCGGGGTGGTGTTTCTGTGTTTAGCTGGATCCCCTCCCACAGATGGCCAACGTCTATCTTTATCCATGTCTCATACATAGTATGAGCAACAGTTGCAAAATGATCAATCTTATGCAATCAGCTAATCTTAAATGGAAATCTCTTCACTGATTTTGATTATAAAGAGAAATGCATGAAGAGAACCTAAAGAGAACATCCTACACTGGAATTATGTGTTCTGTAAACTACTCCTTTTCCACAGTCTTTCGTTTTGCTCAGAAAGTTACATTTTGGTCTAATCTGAGTAGATTTTTTCTTTCTAATTCTTTGCTCTTATCTCTGAGTTCCTTCACTGCCAAACAAAAAAGCTGTCATTATGCAGGAATTAAATTCGCCAACTCTAGTTAGACTTAAGCTTCTAAAAAGTGACTTCAGAGGACGAATGGTTGCCCAGGGTTTTATTAAGAGGTATCAGAGTAAAGAATGCTCAGTGATGCCACACTATTAGTATTTCTATTTGATACAGAAAGGAAAACATGTATTGTTATGCTTTCAGTTCACATTTCTAAATTCATTTTTTTTTATACAGAATCAAACTAAACATACTGAATCTTGGTTGTAGTGAAAGAAAATGTAAACTGTGCAGGAGCTATACTCTAGCAGAGAGAAAGGTGTACATTTTCTTTTTTTTTCCGCACTGATTTAAAATAACATATTCTTAAAGATAAAAGACTTCCACTACAGTTTTCATACCTGCGATGCGATATTATCAGTCTCAAATATAGGCAATCTATGGAGTCCTCTCAGTCCATCTTTTGAATTAATACAAAAAAACAACAAAAAAATCAAATCAAGAAATGTAACAGTAATCAAAGCAGAAACATAGTTTACATTTTTACCCTGTAAAACCGATGTAAAATCCCCAAAGCTTCAGATAAAGTATGCTAAGCTAGTGGTTGAATGTGAAAAATCAGCAGTTACTGGCTTTATGGGTCTCTTAGCAACAGTTGCCATTTGTAAACTGAATAACAGAACAACATCAACAACATCTTAGACAAACTCAAAACTCAAGGTTAATGTATCGCTTACATACCCGCTGTCTAACTTTAGCTTCATTCAATATTTACCTGCTGTAAGCCTTTGTTCAGTGAACCGTATGGTAATCTGAGAGCAGGGTGTCGGTCAGAACAGGGATTGTATGGTGATCCAGAGGGCAAAACAGCATTTTAACCCACTCCCTAACACATGTTTTGCATTATCTAATAAATCTAATATAATGTACAGGATGCACAAGATA